TTTATTTGACAGAGTGAGAGAGAGCACAAGCAGGGGGAGCTGCAGAGGGAGAGGCAGAAGCAGGCTCCTCACCAAACAGGGAGCCCTAAGCAAGGCTGAATCCCAGGACCCTGGGATCATGACCTGAGCCCAAGGCAGAAGCTTAACCCACGGAGACACCCAGGCACGCCAAAAATAAAATCTTTAAAAAAAAACTTAAAATACCGCCTGGCACACAGTAAACACTCAATCATTATTGTTGTTATTTGTATAACAATATAAATTGTGCACTGTCTATGCTATTCATCCAAACTCATTGGATGAGCCCCTATTCAATGCCAGGCACAGAGACACCTGAGTTATTAAGACAAATCGCCCAACATCCCTGCACTCAAGATCTTAGAGCAAAACAGAAAAAAAAAAAAGATTTGGTGCTAAAACACAGGGGTTGAGGTGTCTGGGTGGCTCAGTCGGTTAAGTGCCTGTCTTCTGCTCAGGTCATGATCCCCGGGTCCTGGGATGGAGCCCTGCATTGAGCTCCCTGCTCAGTGGGGAGTCTGCTTTTTCCTTTCCCACTGCCTCTCCCTACCCCGGCAATGCCCCAGCTAGTGTTCTCTCTCTTACTTGCTCTCTCTAAATTAAATAAATCTTTAAAAAAAAAACAACATGGGGTTAACTTGAATCAGATTCAAGGAGTCTCTAACAGAAATTAGTATTTCCTTCAACTACTAATGTTAGTGATAAATCACTAACATGTTAGCAGTGCCTGTGGCTTTGTTTCCAGGAGAAATTACAGATATTTCCATATCGAATTACAGTCCTTGCAGGTATCTCAAAATATTATTTGTCCTCACCATTACTCTGAATAATGATAGTTATTAGATTGGATCTGCTGCTAGATTTTATTTAGTACCTTCAAAAAGAAGGACCTAGAGGGGTACCTGGCTGGCTCAGTCAGTGCAGGATGCGATTCTTGATCTCAGGGTTGTGGGTTGGAGCCCCACATTGGTCATAATGCTTAATTAAAAGATTAAAAAAAAGAAGCATCTACATCACAACTTGATTTTTTACTATTTTGGTTTGTTTGTAATTGATTTTCTTCATAATCTGATAGATATTTATGCTTTTTTTAAAAGACTTTATTTGACAGAGAGAGATACAGCAAGAGAGGGAACACAAGCACAGGGAGTGGAAGAGGGAGAAGCAGGCCTCCCACAAAGCAAGGGAGCCTGATGCGTGGCTCGATCCCATTACTCTGGGATCATGACCGGAGCTAAAGGCGGACACTTAACAACTGAGCCACTCAGGCGCCCTTATTTATGCATTTTTAAAGGATTTTATTTATATTGGAGAGAGGGTTTGCACATATGAGCAGTTGGGGAGAAGCAGAGGAAGAGGGAGAAGCAGATTCCCCACTGAGCAGGGACACCCCCCACCACCACCTGGGGCTTGATCCCAGGACCCTAAGATCATGACCTGAGCTGAAGGCAGATGCTTAACTCCCTGAGCCACCCGGTCACCCCATCTTTGTACATTTTTAAAAGAAGGGGTCCGTCCACAGGTTTCAACAGACTGCCAAAGGGGTCCATGGCATTAGAAAGGTTAAAAATCCCACCACAAGGGGCGCCTGGGGGGCTCAGAGGGTTAAAGCCTTCAGCTCAAGTCATGATCCCAGGGTCCTGGGATCGAGCCCCGCATCGGGCTCTATCCTTGATGGGGAGCCTGCTTCCTCCTCTCTCTCTGCCTGCCTCTCTGCCTACTTGTGATCTCTCTCTTTCGAATGAATAAATAAAATCTTTAAAAAAAAAATCCCAGCACAAAAGTCTATGTAAGGAAGATTGGGGGCCCTAATGAAAGAGTGCACAATAGGGAGGAGTACAAAACGATTCTGTTTTGTAAGAGAAGCTAGGTGACCCTGATTTTAAAAACCAACTTAAAAAAAAAGTCAACTTTTGAGGTACTAAAAATAACTTCCTTCTGATTGCAAAGGTGCATAGGAATTGGAGTTTAAAAAGCTGTGTTCATCACAGCCCTGCTACTAAATGAACGTGTAATTTCTCTGAGCCTATTTTCTCATCTGGAAAATGAAAATAATGCCAGCTTCATATGATCATTATGAAAAAGTAAGATAATGTATATAAAAGCACATTGATAGTTATAAAGGTTAAAACAGTTGCTATTCTTCTTTCCTTGTCCACAAATCTAATCCTATGCTAGGAAATACACACACACACACACACACACACACACACACATATATATATACACACACATATATATATGTATGGTCTATCATATATCATATATATGTATAAAGGACAATGGCCTTTGCTTTTTTTAGGCGTTTACAGCTCAATTCTGGATATGTCCTGAAGGCTAAAACACATGAAACCTGGAAAGCAATTCAAATTCCATATAAAGTAGGGAACTAAACACACATATGTCATTGATGGTGAATTGGCATGACAAGTTTAAAAAACAAACGCCACCCCACACTTAAGAAATAACAACACAAAATAAATTAGCTGGCCACAGAAACAACCAACTGGGTGATGACCTCTGGAGCAAAAGGTAACTCATCAATTAACTCTACCTTGTCCCAGGTAATGTGGTATTTTCAGTGTTCTACATACATTCAAGACAAAGAATACAAAAAGAGAGAATTGGTTACTATGCCTCTTCCGCAGCATGGTTGGCTTGGATCCTCGTGACCAGTATTGGTTAACTACTGTCTGTTAAAACCAGGCCCATGCCAAGGCCAAGAACACTAACATGGAGTTCTCATGGGAAAGACCCTTTAAGAACATCCTGACTTCGGGTGCCTGGGTGGCTCAGTGGGTTAAGCCGCTGCCTTCGGCTCAGGTCATGATCTCAGGGTCCTGGGATAGAGTCCCGCATCGGGCTCTCTGCTCAGCAGGGAACCTGCTTCCCTCTCTCTCTCTCTCTCTCTCTCTGCCTGCCTCTCTGTCTACTTGTGATCTCCCTCTGTCAAATAAATAAATAAAATCTTAAAAAAAAAATAAGAGAACATCCTGACTTCCTTAGCTCTACTTCTCTGTTCTTCAAAGACGGGTGATAACCTGTGACTTCCTTTTTTTTTTTTTTTTTTGGATTGTACCTGTCCCCCACACTCCCCGGCAAAGAGAAAACCCTATATAAATGAGGAATCATTTGTTGGCTATATTTACTGTTAATATAATAGCCTTCTAATCTATAACTTGGTATTTTGTGACTTATCTAGTGTGATTCAAAACACTTTTTTTTTTTGGAAGTAGAGAGTAGTAGAGAGTACAGAATAGAAGAACAAATAAGAGCATTCTGAACTTTTTATCTGACTGAAAATTTAGGCTGTACTTAAAAATCAGCAACAGGTATACCTTATTTCAGATGTGTTCCTGAAATGCCAAATTTTATATTAAACGCATCATGCGTAGAGCTCACTTTCTTAAGTAGCAAATGCTTTGATTAAAACCAGTACTTCAGGGGCGCCTGGGTGGCTCAGTGGGTTAAAGCTTCTGCCCTTGGATCAGGATTCTGGGATGGAGCCCCAAGCTCCTTTCCCGCGTTGGGAGCCTGCTTCGCCGCGCCCTCCCGCCCCCCCGCCCCCTGCCCCAACTTGTGATCTCTGTCTGTCAAATAAATAAATAGAATTTTAAAACAAAACAAAACAAATTAAAAGCGGTACTTCAGATGTCTGAATAACTATTCCAAAGACACTAGTTTTGGAAACAGCTTGAATAACCATTCCAAAGACACTTGTTTTGTAAACAGTGTTTGCAGTTAACTTTTATAAAGGTCCTAAAGTAGACATTTGAAAAATGTTATTGGAAGTTATGAAACGGTTCTGTGTTTGTAGACTGGGACTTTGGAAGATAATGTTTCCTTTTAATGGAATATAAGATCACAGTATTTGAATTGGCTAGAACATCTCAGAGATCACCTTGTCCAACCTGAAATTCAAATCTTTTGAGTATTAGCTCAACTCCAAACCTGTCTGTAGGAGGAGACTAAATTGGGCCTCTGCATCCGTCTTTTTAAGCAGGACGGGCAAAACAACGGATTCCCTCTCAAGTTTTTCAGCGCAAGATGAATAGGTTCTCGAGGTTATACGTACTTTTAAGAAATCAGTTTACCCCTCTGACCACTCCTATGGTGCCCGGCGGGCTGAAGCAGTGTGTGTGTGTGGGGGGGGGGAGTTCAAGTATCTAAGTCTTGCTTCCAACAGTCGATAAGCCACGACTTTCTCAGTAACGATCCTGAAGCTTCAAATCACCTACCAAAACTAGTTTTCCTCATTTTATAGGTGATTGTTACACATAAACCGCTCTCTTTGGTGGAGCCCGGTGGCGTCCGACAGCTGCAGCCGCAGCCCCCGGGCTGCCCCCCATCCACTCAAGGGCTTTGCGGGGTGGGATTCGGCCAGGGGTGGCTTGGGGCACGTGGTGGCTAGGGGATCGGAGATGCGATCCCCGCCCCGGGAGCCCCTCTACCAAGAAACGACCCACCCATCTCCCAGTCAGGCCCCTTCCTGCGAAGTTAGAGACTCGATGACCCGTAATGGATCTCCGTTCATTTAACAGGCCCCGCGCCCCCAGTTCCTCAGAGGCCCGCCTCTCTTCAGGGGTCTTCTACCCCCCTGGGGGCGGTGACTGACGACGCTCAGAAGGCGAGAAACGGCTCCCTAAGCCGCTCGCCGGGTCCCTCTCTCCCCACAATGCACCGGGGCCAGCAGGAAGGCCGCTCCGACCCCTAATTTTCCCGCGAATTCAGTTCAAAGAGGCGGCCGGGCCCGCGATCGGCAGCGCGCACGGGCCAACCAAGCCGCGCTCCGCGAGAAGCGCCTCCGCGTGACTGACGGGAGAATCCGCGGGCCAACGGGCTGGGCGGCCGGGCGGCGCGCGCTCCCGCCGGCCAATCAGGACGCCGGGCGGGGGAAGTGGGCGGAGCGAGGCCAGGCTAGGGTGAGCGGCCTCCCGAGCGAAGCGGGGCTCTCAGGAGGAGACACTTTTTTTTTCCTCCCTCCTTCCCTCCTCTCCTCCTCCCTTCCCTTCCCCTCTCCTCCCCTCTCTCCTCCTTCCCCCCTCGGTCCGCCGGAGCCTGCTGGGGCGAGCGGTTGGTATTGCAGGCGCTTACTCTCCGGGGCCGCCCGGCGGGTAGCTGGCGGGGGGAGGAGGCAGGAACCGCGATGGCGCCTCAGAAGCACGGCGGTGGGGGAGGGGGCGGCTCGGGGCCCAGCGCGGGGTCCGGGGGAGGCGGCTTCGGGGGTTCGGCGGCGGTGGCGGCGGCGACGGCGTCGGGCGGCAAATCCGGCGGCGGGGGCTGTGGAGGAGGCGGCAGTTACTCGGCCTCGTCCTCCTCCTCCGCGGCGGCAGCGGCGGGGGCCGCGGTGTTACCGGTGAAGAAGCCGAAAATGGAGCACGTCCAGGCTGACCACGAGCTTTTCCTCCAGGCCTTTGAGAGTGAGTGTGTTTGCGGCTTTGAGGGCAGGAATACCCCCTCTTCCAGCATTAGGGGGCCGGGACACTCGTGCTGGGCCCCCCTTCCTCGCCGGGACTCGACTTGATTTGGGAGTGGAGGGAGAAATTGAGAAATTGTTCCCACTTGAGGGATTACGGGCAAGGGGGTCCGAAGTCTAGGTAGGGCCTTGGTGGGGGAGGTGGATCTGGGGGTGCAGGTGAGGTTCTTGACTCCCCGAAGATTTACCCGAGAGCTTGGGCGGTGGGGCCCCACGTTTAAAAGAGCAGGCTTTTAGGTGGGGAGGTTACAGTTGGACTGAGGATGCAGTCAGATCCCGAGACTAGTTCTTGCTTTCTTTCCTGTCTTTTCTTACTCTAGAAGTACAAGGGTTTCGGTTGTACGTTTTGAGGAGTCAAATTAAGCTTGTGAAGAGAGGAGTGCAGGAAAACCGACCCAATTGTCATTTGCCTGAAATGCTTTCGCACTAACTTGGTGCTGCACGTTCACATGGCACCTTTGGATGCTTGAAACCTTTCAGATCTATCCACCCATTCCATGGGTACATAAACTGAGTCAGGTAGCGCTTAGAGTGTCTACTCTTGAGACTGCCTCGGAATTTTGCCCGTTGTACTTGTCTTAATTCCAGAACATTTTCTTATGCCAGTTTTGGCTTTTAAGGTCCTGTTTCAGGGGCAGAACTATGACTTGATTTGAAAGGAAGGCAAGGTGTCTGGAAACAAACAATAGAATTTATTAAAAACATCGTGACTGTAAATAATCTCAATTGTCCTTTAATGAGTATTAAATCGTGATTGTTTTCCTTCCTGCTTTTGTGTACATTTTATAATTTGGATGAATCGCTAATAGCTAAATAACAGAAACTTGAAAAAACTCGGCTTTACCGCCGAATGTCGTTATTTACAATTTTACCGTGGCATATGTTAAAGGCTTGGTATCAGCTGTGCTTGAAAAGAGGTATTACGTTGTTTAATACCCTTCTCTCATTCTCTCTTACTCGTGCTTCTTGAAATTCTAATTGGAATTTAATACAAGGAATTTCAGTTTTTATTGAAACGAATATTGAACCTGCTTGAGAGATTCACAGTCTTACTTTTGCTTAATCTACTTTGAAAAAATCTGGAGTGCTTTAAATTGGAAAAATGGTGGAGAACTGAAGGGCCGTGATGACAATAAACGTACATGTTTGTATCCCTTCTAAATTATCTTCTCTCTTTTTTATGCATTTGACACTAAAACTAAACTAACTGAAGATTAAGTGGAAATTTAAACATTTCTTTCTAAATGTGATGCAGAGACAAAGCGGCCAAGAAAGTTTAAGCTATTTTTGCTTTCTGATGAGTCTACCTTGGAGGAGTAAACTGTCATTAAGTGCTAGCTTTTATCACACAACAACTTGATTCTTCTCTAGTATTGATCTTAATTTCTGGGAAGTTAAAATGCTTTGATACATATACTGGTGTAGTCAGTTATCTTTAGTTCCTTTTGATACTTCTTTATTTAAAGAAATGTGATACTACTAAATTAAAGAAACTGGTATTGTTGTATTTGTATATAAAATATATATATTTCTTTATATCTAAAGGCAAACGAATTTTAATTAAAGAGCATTTAAAAGCCTAGGGATTTGTTGATTAAAAATATGTGTTAAGCTAGTATTTACGTATTGGGATAATATTTATATTGAACAAAATAGATAAAAACTTCAATTATAATTAAATATTCACTGGAAATTTTAGGTATGGTCTGTGTCTCATTTCTTTCAGTATTGGCAGACTTTCATTATACCTTCATTAGGACATCTGCGAAACTGTTTTATTCTGTTTCAGCTTACTACTAATTTTTTAAAAGACCAGTTAAAAAGTGAAAATTTATTCTGTTATTTAGCATCAATAAATTCTTCTGCTGAATCCAGCTACCTCATTTCAGCTCATTTTTGGGAGGAGATGGGTTATAGTTTCAATTAGCTTAATTAAATCAGTATATTAGTCTTCAGTTCTGCATACAGACTAGTTTAAAAGGTAGCTACCTTAGAAATGGCAAGGCTTAAGCACAAGATTGTAGAGAACCTTAAATTTAAAATAAATGTAATTGAGTTTTGTGAATATATTCCATAGACTGAATGTCTTTTGATGTTACTGTGCATGCTAATTTTCTTGATGTCACTATTTAGTACATGATTTTCATACAGGTGATTGGTTTACATTGGTTATAATACTGGCTGGACTGGTTATTTTCTTGAGAACTTAAGTAATCCTTTTGTTTCCTGTTACCTAGAACCAACGCAGATCTATAGATTTCTTCGAACTCGAAATCTTATAGCTGTAAGTAGTCAATAAAATTAATGAATATTTTTTTTTCTTAGAATTTTGCCTATTTAATTTTAATATTTTAAAAACCTTTTTTTGTAGCCAATATTTTTGCACAGGACTCTTACTTACATGTCTCATCGAAACTCCAGAACAAACATCAAAAGGTACATTTTTATGAATCTTATTTTGAGTTGATCAGACAATGTTAAAGTTTTATTTTAAGGTACTGTTTATAATTAAAGATTAAATATGAAAAAGTGGCTGGTTGAATTGGTTGCCAAGTGATTTTTAATAGTATCATTTTTTAAAATCCTAGTTTATTACCAATTTTTTTCCCTAGTAGAAATGATACAGTAGTGGAGTGAGTGAAGTAATTTTACTGAATAATATTTTTATATTGTGCTATGAGTATTTTCAAGTTTGGTGAAAGCTGAGGATTTAAATATTAAAGGGCTCAGGGAAACTATCTTCAATACATAAATTTAAGTTAATTTTTAAATATTTCTTATATGTTCTAACAACGAAGAATTTGCTTCCATAATGATAGGTTCAAAAAGTCTCATTTTATATCTTTGGTTGGTGGTCTTTCTAGAAGAGGAAATATTTCTGAACTCCATAGACTGAATGTCCTTAAAAAACAAGAAGTCTTAATTATCTAGTTTTCAGGTGGACTCTGGGGGTGTCGATCAGAACTTATTTTTGTTTTAAACATGCAATCTTTAACCATATGTAATTATGGAATGCTAGTTTCTTATCCTACATGCAAGGTGACTGAGTATATCAAATGAACAATTTTAAGTTTAAAGGAAAGAGCTTGTATTAAGCATTTGGTATTGTTAATCTTGACTCACTAAAACCATTAAGCTATCCCAATAGACTTTGAAACCAAACTCCTTTAGAGCCTCCTACTGATTATTAAGTAAGCATCATGTTTCTATGGCAAGACTTGGTTTAGCTTTGTGTATATACGTAGGTGTACTTTGAAGGATTGAAATGTTAAAACTATTTGTCTTCTGGTAATCTTTCTGAACAGAGAGAGTATGCAAGTGATTGCGTGTTTGTGTGCGTTATATTTAATAGGTGAAGCTTGCCAAGAGCCTAAATAACTGGGAGAAGAAGGTGATGGATTAGGCAACAGAATTAAATTTGTCAGCTCTTTGCCTGTCTGTGTCATTATTTGATCTATGCCAAGGTTCAACAGACTTTTTCTGTGAAGGAACAGATAGTAAATATTTTAGGCTTTGTGGTCCAGGAGGCAGAATTAAGATTATTAGTTAGAATGTAAGTAGATACTTACACAAAAAGAAAAAAAATGTTAACAGTTCTTTTTATTGATAAAATTTAAAATCTAATAATTGAGTACAGTGTTTTGTAAAATATGCCTGCTAGTGAGAAGTGTGAGACTCTTTCATTTTTGTGTGGTGGGAAGAGATGGCATTTACCTTAATTGGGGTTTGGTTACTGTTCAAATCAATTGCACATATTTATCCATAAAAGCCATTCTTAGCTTGTGGTTTGGGTACAGGCAGTAGGCAGGATTTGGCCTGTGGTTCATGGTGTGCTGATTTATTCTATAAAACTAGGAGATTTTGATTAAGTAGTACTTAATCTTTTTCCTCTAGTATTTTTAATATGGAAGATCAGTTATCATTTAGGATGCGGCCTGATTTTAATTTAAAAGTGATTAGTTTGGGGATGCCTGGCTGGCTGTCAGTAGAGCATGAGACTCTCGATCTTGGGGTTGTAAGTTTGAGCCCCATGTGGGTGTAGAGGTTACTAAACATTTTTTTTAAGTGATTATGTTTTTTCAAAATAATGAGTTAATCCATAAATTAAAAAATACATTTAAAATCTAAGTTCATTATTGTCATGTTTATCAGACTATTTGACTGTCTCATTGTGGGATACATTTCTGTTGTCTGCTAATAGGTAGAGACGGGCTTAAAATCTTGGTAGAAGAAATTACTTTTCTTAATTTATTGCTTTTTAGGCAAAAAATTGTCTTTCGGGGGAGTTTTGCAGCTGTTTACCAGGCAATAAACATAGAAATCCCATAGTTTTTATTCCATGCAAAAATGCATTAGGAATCATTAATGCTTTTGTTATATGCCTGGCTTATAAAAGACATTGAAATTAATTTTTAACAAATTACACAACTTATAAATCCTCAGATGAGTGCTGTTCTTTTCAAAGTAGCTGGTGGCTTTGGAAGGTGGTGAATTTAGCCTAATGCTGTGGTCTTTGTTAAACATGTTTTTGGGACTCCTTTTATAAAATCGCTTTTAATAACTATCCTTTGCTCAAAATGTTTTGGGACTCCTTTTTTACTATTATAACAGCATAATATTCATTGTTGGAATAAATATGTCACTCCCTTTGAAGTCATACAGTCCATTGTGATATTAATTCTAGTGTGTTTGTTAAACTCACCTTGTACTTGAGTTTCACTTCATAGAAGTATTGACATTCTGTAGAGTAACACAACACTCATAGAGTGGAAATATTTGTGAGGAGAAGGGCATCTTTTATTGAATCCATTTTACTAGAGTTCATGTAAGTTGTTTCTGAATCCTCCTAAGAAAATTTCCTGGAGTTTCTTGAATTTCTTGAATTTTAAAAATATTCTCCTTTTTGATGATCTTTTGATAACCATTTCCCTTGTTAAATCTGAGCTGCTGTAGCAGTATCTTTCTAAAGAACAGACATACTTGGTGCTGGGAGTGAGACTGCTTTTGTATAGTTGCTTATGTGGTTTGTTTTGTTGTTTTTCCTAAAGAAGGCTGGATTGCCTATATTATCTTAACCTATTTCACACGGTTGTTAACACTCACCTTTCCTATGCACACCTCCATAATGTTGGAAGAGGTGAACCTTGTGACTTAGTCTTAACTTTTCTTTCTTACAGACAGGATTTCTTCTTAATCATTGCATAAAGAAAAACTTATTATTCTTAAAAGTTTCCAGTAACTTTACAATCTTCCTCAGTAGTACATTTCAGTATTTATACTGGAAAGTTCTTTGTAACTAGCCTAAAATAATCCTACATTTTTCTTCTTTCTTCTCTCTTATCTGTGGAGATTGAAAATGTATTGCCATCCTTCTAAAGTACTTGCTTTATGCTCTATTGGATGAAACATTAATATTGAAGTTTTCAGTAACTCTAAAGGTAAAGAGAGAAGCTTTTTTTTTTTTTTTCCTAAACAATCTTTTCTTAATGGAGGCTGTTTTTCACCTGAACTATAGATTGCATCAATTCTGCTCTTCCTTATTAGTATTTTACTGTAATATATTTACATTAACATTTCTATACTGATAATTTTTTATTATAGTAGTTGAGTACAGTAGCTATTATGAGGAAATGAGCCTGATAGTAATTTCTAGTGTCTGAATTCAAGGTTTACAAAGTAATTCATGTGGAGTACATTAAGTTTTTCATGTCGTAAGTTTGAAGAAAATATATGAGTTGAGAAGAAATACTCATTTTCAGTTAACATATGTGGGTCTAGATTTTTAGCTTCTGTCTGTAGGACACATATAATAGACCACCTTAAGAACTAAGATAAGGCTTGCTTTAGAGTCCATTCTTAAATTGCTTGGGAGTATATGGGAGTTATTCTTAATTTAAGTTTCTGTTTTGTGGAAAAAGTACTTTTTTCTCTTCAACTTCTGGAGTTAAAAGCTAATAATTTTATTATGATTTGATGGGCATGTCCCCTAAACTTCAAAATTTTTCCATGATGGTTGATAACCATCTCTTTATTATGACATATCATTTAACTTTAGCCATTGCTTATAATCTTTGAGGATGTTTTGTTTATTTCAGATTTTTTTAGTAAAATATTTATTTTTATGTAATAGTGTTAACACATATTTGTCAGGTTACTTAATAGAAATAGATGAATGTTTCAAAATATGTGATTTGCATTTGTTTGGTTCAGTCCAACAGATGCTTGAATAGCTTTCAAATGTAAGGTACAGTGATGTGGCTTTCCTTGAAGAAAAGCAGTCTCTGCCCTTCAGGAGCTTATAGTCTAGGGGAAGAAATAAAATATTTATGCAAGTTCACATTTATGACACTATATGTCAAAATAAATATAAGCCAGTTGTCATAGGTAAGGGGAAATCACTCTGGTTTGGGACTAATTACAAAAGGTTTCATGGAAAAGATAGCTTTTGAGATGGGACTTGAAGGGTTGTCTGCTGTATTATAACGTACACTGTTTCAATGTAGTATTCATTGTTATGGCTAACTATCCACAATTTATCTTATTAAAAATAATCAAAATCAGATTTCCAACTTGCCTATTACGGTGACAATAAAGTATAATCTTTTTTTTTCCCAGTCGAGAAGTGATTATTTTGTTTATCTGTTTCTTTCAGGAAAACATTTAAAGTTGATGATATGTTATCAAAAGTAGAGAAAATGAAAGGAGAGCAAGAATCTCATAGGTAAGATAACCTATCAGTTTACATTAAGTGACATACTTGAGGAAAGAGGAAAAAATTTTAGTGATCATTTCTCTAGTGATCACCCCAATATTGTAAGGAGTTAGAAGGAACCTTAAAGATCAGTTGGTCCAAACTCATATGTAAAAGGAATTACTAATTCTGTAGCATCCGTGGCAGAGAACCCTTAAGCCTCATCTTAAATAACTTCAATCTGGCAACTCACTGTTATTCTAAGGCAGTTGTGTTCACTATTATTTATTTACCAGTTTCTTGCATGTTGACTCAAAGTTTTTGTAGCTTTTGCAGTCGGTATTAACCGTACTACCTCACATAAGGAGGGATGGAGACTTCTATTTATGGTATACTTACTATATATTAGATGGTATGCCAGGTTCTTCACAATATCACATTTCTTCTAAATAATTGTCTTTAAATCTGAAAGAGGCTGTCTTTTCATCTTGTCCTTCCCCATATTTAGGCCTTTCAAAGTATTCCTAACTTTATATTTGAAATATGTTTTTCACATAAGAGTTTCAGAAACTTGACCCTTTGAACAGAATCTATTTATTGTATGTTTTCAAATGTAATACCTAGAACTAATCCCTAAAAGTTCTGACTATATTGCCCAAGCTGAACAGTGCGTTTCCATTTTTTTCTTTGATATGTAAACTAAAGAAAGTTGAGTATCATTCTAAAGAGGCAGAGGAACTTGGGTGGTAGTTGTTTATTCATTGACTACTTTTAGGGAGAATACAAAACTAAAAATGTTAGATTTTTTTTAAAAAATGAAACTGGTTTTTAAAAAAAATTTTTTTTGATTGCCACAACAGATTGTTGTCTCTCAAAATTTTAAATCATAACTTATCGATAAAGATAGGATGTACACTGACTTAATGATACTTTATGATTTTTCATTTTAGTAACTGGTATGTCATTTTTGCAGTTGCTTATATGTTAAGTTTGGCTTTTGAATTAGGTCATTTTGTTACTTGAATTGTAAAATCACATTTTTAATTATATATCTTGCAGGATTGTACTGTAATTTATATTTCCATATCTAGGCAATCTTGACTTGTAAATAAACTGTGATAGTCCATCCTAGAAACTGAGATCCCAAATCTTTACCGAATCTGTCTGTTCCTGCCCAAGGAGTACTTAAAACATAGAACTAAGAATGTTCTCCGTATATGTATATACGGAGTATATGTACTTCCTGTTGCTTGAATTTCTATTCCAGATCCTTGTCTGGTTACCTACCCTAGACAGAGTTCTTGGGATCCTCAGGGCCTTTTTTATGTAAAGTATAAGCTGTAGTCAGAGCCTCATCTTTGAGGTTTCCTGTTTCTTTTCTCCCAAACATTTTAATAATTTGCCCTCCCGGTCTTTCAGAGTTTGTGTGGGAAGGAAGAATGAACCAAGAAGAAAACTTGACCCTTTTCTTTATCTTTCCTATTAAGGCTCTATCTTTATCACTGCTAAACCTACTGGTATCCCTTTGTGACATTGGCTTTGATAAATATTACAGAGCTTCCCTTAGAATATGTGTTGTGAGGGAAATAGGTAATACTAGTCAGTTCTCTTTGAATAATCACTCACCCATTATTTTTTTTCCTTTTGACCCAGTCGTTTCAATAGCTAGGCCAGTACTCCAACGACTGAACCACTCAGGCATCACAGGCCAGTACTCTTAACAGAGGTGTTTTTAATTCACAGAAGCATCAGAGGGTTGCAAGAATTCCTTCCTGTAATTTTGAAAAACAACTTTTTCAGTCTTTAGGATCCACATGATACTAGTGAATTGGCCATTTCAACCCCCCAAGATTGATCGATCCATCTCCCTCTCTTTCTCTGCTTGCCTTTCTGCCTACTTGTGATCTCTGTCTGTCAAATAAATAAAATATTTTAAAAAAAGAAGAAAAGGGGGGGCGCCTGGGTGGCTCAGTGGGTTAAAGCCTCTGCCTTCGGCTCAGGTCATGATCCCAGGGTCCTGGGATTGAGCCCTGCTTCGGGCTCTCTGCTTGGTGGGGAGCCTGCTTCCCCTCTCTCTCTCTCTCTCTGCTTGCCTCTCTGCCTACTTGTAATCTCTCTCTATCAAATAAATAAGTATTTAAAAAAAAAAAGAAATTTCAAAATAAAATATCAGACCTAGGGATGCCTGGATGGCTCATTTGTTTGAGTGTACCTTCAGCTCAGGTCATGTCATGATCCCAGGGTCCTGGGATTGAGCCTTGCATCAGGCTCCCTGCTCAGTGGGGGAGCCTGCTTTTCCCCCTCCCTCTCAGCTGCTCCCCCTGCTTGTGTGCACGCATGCTCTCTCTCTGTCAGTAAATGAATAAATCTTTTAAATAAATAAATAAATAACAGACCTAGCTGTGTTGGAGCTTAATGGCCAGCAAGGTACTTTAGGCCCCAGAGGTGTTGAGTTACTACTGTGTGCTAAGTGCTTCAGCATCACTCCATCCCTCAGGATCTTTATGAATGTTGTAGTGTCACTCCCAGAGACACTAAAATAAATTGGGGTATTGCTTTGTTTTACGTTTACCCCCAAGGCTTGGTATTATTAAATCATTTAAACGTATTTCTCATCTCAAATTAGGCATAATCTTATTGTTCCATTAAACTTATCACATAGCACTGTTAGAAGTTCCCTAGACACCAATATGTCATGCCTGCACTGTAAAACTTTGTAAAATCTGTGGTCAGATTCTTTTACAAGAAAATAAAATTAATCTTTGTTTTTCCCTGATATTAATTAGCAGAAGTTAAGTCATATACAAAAACATACCTGTCTTCCCATTTATATTTTTTATTCTGTACCATCTCCGACAGATCTTACTCAGTTTAGTTGGATCCTGGATTTGTTCAGCCATGGTAGCCTGGTTATCTCTGGTTCCATTGGTTCTCATGTTCTTTCAGCACTTGCAAAATTGTAATGTCTCTATTCCCAAATCCCTTGTATTTCATTCTCCAAAAGTTCAGTGGAATATCAAGATACAAATACTGTAGTACTATGGCCACAAAGTAGAACAATCAACTACCTGACTTATGTATGTCATTTGTAGTAACTTATAAACCAGGCCAAATTCCCAGCATTATCTGTGCAAAATGAAGTTGGTGTTCAAGGATCTTTTATTGACGTACATTCTAGATCTACCATTGTCTTTACTAGTCACAGATATTGGCAGAACATAATAGGGGAAGCAGCTGATGGGGGAAAAATGGACACTTCATGGTTTTTACTTCTTGAAGATGTCAGTCAACATATGGCAGTAGGCCATAATTGACATTGTAACCCTACCTCAATAATAAACCCTATTGTTCTTGAAGATTGTTTCTTTTCTTGGGATGCCTGGGTGGCTCAGTCAGTTAAGCGTCTGCCTTCAGCTCAGGTCATGATCCTAGGGGTCTGGGATTGAGCCCCACATGGAGCTCCCTGCTTCTCCCTCTTCCTGCCGTGCCTCCCCTCCCCTCCATTTGTGTTTGCTCACTCCCTCTCTTTCTCTCTGACAAATAAATAAAATCTTTTTATTTATTTGACAGAGACACAGTGAGAGAGGGAACACAAGCAGTGGAAGTGGGAGAGGGAGAAGCAGGCTTCCTGCTGATCAGGGAGCCTGATATGGGGATCCATCCCAGGACCCTGGGATCATTACCTGAGTGAGCCGAAGGCAGATGCTTAATGACTGAGCCACCCAGGCACCCCAAATAAATAAAATCTTTAAAAAAAAATTGTTTCTTTTCTTGAAGAATGGCTTCTGAAAACTCCATACTAATTAGAAGATTTTAGAAATTCATAGTGGTTGTACCTTCAGTCTCAAGTTTTTCCTGCTGTTTATCCTTGCTTTTTTTGGTGTGATGGAGTATATTTAAAATATCTTTATTTTCTTTTTAGAATGTCTGACATAATTCCTTGTATTCTGTCCTCTTCAATTCTTATTTGGGTTTTGAATTTATTTTGGGTTTTGACCAAGTACTATGGCTTACTGGAATAAATTTCTGGTCTTTCTTTAGTTTTCTATCCTAGCAGGATCCCAGGAGTCTTTTGTGCTGTTAGTACTACCAGTTTTGGAATTCTGTAGTCCTGACTCCTTTGACTTCTTAAGTGCATGTCCATTGGCTGAAAGATAGCATGAAGGGATTTCCAAATTGGAGTTGTGTGCAAAAGTATTTGAGTTAAATGAAAAGCAATATGTCTCCTCTCTTTTCCACTTAAACATCATCTATTCCTGGTCCTCTTTTAGCAGCTGGAGAAATCCCCTCAAAAGATACCAGAACTAGAACTTTTACTAGGGACATTTTCAAGTTTTAGTAGGTTGATAACATAAATTGCCTCATCACTTCTTATTTGTTGTTATCACCTAAGCTTTTGGATTAGTAATCTTTCTTTTCTAAGCATCTTTTGTATAAAGAAGTCCAGATCTATTTTTTTTTTTTCTGATATCCAGTTTTCTTAGTGTACCAAGTCCAGAACTTTATACTAGTCTTAGGGCATATAATGGTGAACAGAACAGATGAAGACCTTGCCTTTATGGAGGAAAAAGATATAATCGTATAATATGTACAGTTGTAAAATAATGGCCAGGGAAGAAAAAATAGGGAAACTGAATGTATGAAGCAGGTGATCCAGCTCTTGTTTGGGATGTTGGATTTGGAAATAATGATTGGTGGTCAGGGAGGGCCTCCTTAAAAAAATGAGCTGAGATATGAAAGATGGATATAGGAGTAAAATGGGGACTGACAGGGTGAACAGATAGGTGATTCTGAATAAAGGGAATAGTATAGGTATGTCATTTGAGGCCAGAGCAGCTGACTAGAAACAGTAAGGAGAGTGGCTAAGGCTAGAGCAGATGACCATGGCCAGATAATGTAGAGCCTTGGAGGCTATTTAAGGATGTTGGTCTTTATCCCAAGAAAGCCATAAAAATATTTTATTGTTATTTCTTTAAGATTTTATTTATTCATTTGATAGACAGAGATCACAAGTAGGTAGAGCAGCAGGCAGGGAAGGGAAGCAGACTCCCCACCAAGCAGAGAGCCCGATGTGGGCCTCAATTCCAGGACCCCAAGATCATGACCTGAGCTGCAGGCAGAAGCTTAACCCACTGAGCCACCCAGGTGCCCCATAAAAATCTTTTAAATAGTTATATTGAATTACTGGTGTTTCCCTACCCTTTTGTAGATTTAACTGCATTTTTAAAACTTAAGTCTGCTTCTTAACTCAGTTTTATGTCTTTTCCACCATTAATGAGATCTGATGTGTTTCTCCCCTTTCTTTGTTTTTTAACAATCTTGTATTGGCTAGAAGTTTTGAAGTTACTTTTAAATCGGCAACTTTTCATGTTTGGGTTTTAGTTGTTCCTATTTCAGAACTTGGGCCACAGATTATTTTTATGTACTTATTCTTGAAGGTGCCTTATCAGTCGCTACTGAACATATCCGATTCTTAAGTGTTTAGTATAATCTTTGAGTTTACAATCATTCCTTTATATTTTGTCTATTATACTTCTAAAAGGGGATTTATTTATTTGTAAAGGACTCCATCCCCTCATTCAGCTTTATCTTCTCATTACAAAGTGTTCCTATCCTTGTGTCCCGACCTTAGAAGAAATCCTGGATTCCCAGAATAATGGGCTTGATGTAGTCACCAATTTGTCAGTTTTAAACTTTATAGCATGAAATGTATAAGAAAAGTTGGGTAACTAACTTCTAACAGTGTTGATGCCAAATAGCTTATCATCCTGTTATGAGGTAATACAGCCATAACTCTAGAAATGAAGCCTTACACCTGCCATTGTTAGATTAATGTGTACAAAGTAGAGGCACTAATCTTAGTCTCTTTCCAGCATAAAACCTTGGTCCTTTGGTGAGATCTGGCTATTCTTAAAATTTGAGTTTCTTACGTGAATGAATGTCATCTCAGAATGTTAGTCCCTTATGAATTTAAATTTACTTCATTCTGTAGACAGTTTTAGAATTGTTAGATGTTTATGCTTGAAATCTTACCTCAAAATTTCAATTCCTCATCTAGTTTCCTATTGCCCCATTGGTTGCTTCCTCAGAAGATATAGATAGGGCACGTATCACAAAGATGAACCAAATCCTTATCCTGGTATCTAATCCTGATTAAGTTAGATCACATGCAGCCTGAAACCAAATAGGCCTGACTATTCCACATGTTTCTTTGCCTTCCATTCTGATTTAGCTTAGCAATTAAGATATGGACAGAGCCACAAGAGAGGGAAGAGGGTAAATCAGGAAGGGAAAGAAAATTGCCCTTTTTTCTTGAATGAAACCATCTATGGGAAAGAGAAACTAGGCCTCATTGTTTTGTTTTATTCTAGGTACATATTAGAGTGTTTACTTTTAGAAGGGGGAGTTAGAGGAGAAATTGTGCTTAGCAAATCACATTCACAAAGTTATTTTTTAAGCTGGTTAATTGAAATTTGGAGTTCCTTTTCCTAAAGAAACAATGTTAGAATGATAGCTTCCTATTGGTCAACATGTTGGGATGTGCTTCCTATCTCATTTAACTTAAAACATTATCATTTAAAACTGTACCTCACACCACCTGTGGTGAGGGACTTTTTTGTGCTTAATTTTCAATCTTTTATAGATTGATGTTTTTGTAAATATACTTATTGATCACAAGCTTGGAGGATGTTATGGCAACGTTAAATTTCTATAAAAGTGTTTTAAGTCTTACTCTTAGTTTCTTACTTATGGATTGGTAACAAGTTTCCTTAGTTACTTCAGTTTGCAGACTACATATTGAGTAACACTAATTTAAAATATTTTGCGGGGTAGATCAGTGCAAGATGTTTCTGGCATTTCAGAGTTGGAACTTAGAACCACATTTTCTTTTCTTTTCTTTTTTTTTTTTTTTAAAGATTTTATTCATTTGTTTGTCAGAGAGAGTGAGCACAGGCAGACAGAGTGGCAGGCAGAGGGAGAAGCAGGCTCCCTGCTGAGCAAGGAGCCCGATGTGAGACTCGATCCCAGGACGCTGGGATCATGACCTGAGCCGAAGGCAGCCGCTTAACCAACTGAGCCACCAAGGCATCCCAGAACATTATTTTCTATAGAAACAATCTAAATAACACTATAAGCACTACAGTGTAATGGGTCATGATCCCTGACCTTAAAATATCTGTTACTCTAGGAGCAATCGGCTGACTCATTGCATAGAGCATGTGACTCTTGATCTCAGGGTCATGAGTTTGAGCCCCATGTTGGACATAGAGTTTAAGAACAAGAAAATCTTGCTCTAGGAGGACATTGCTGTTCTTCTGAAAGTATGTTGAGTGCCTTTCTGTAAGACACTGCTAGGTGCTGGGGAAACTGATGTAATAAAAAGATTGTCTCAAAAGGTAATATGTATGTGAAAAAAGAGTGACAAAAAAGTGGTATATACAAATACTTGAGATTAAGCTGTGATCATTAAGCTCTGGGATGGTTGGGGATTGGGGTCATTATAGAAGAGGGAAAGAGTACTTTGATGGATACTTTATAAACAGACCTCTTAAGAGAGGTCATTTCCTCATCTTAACAGATATCAGGTCACGGCTAATAACTGGAGCCAGAATTTAAACTTGGATTTTTCTGTCTACCATCCTGACCTGTTTATTCCTATATAGGCTTTAGCAGAGATAAAAAGAAATGGGAGCTATATAACAGATAGCAATTAGACAAAAGACTTGGCATTTGGGGACTCATTGGAATATTTGGGGAGAGGAATGATACATTCAGAATGGGGTTTTAAGAAAATTAACGTGGCCTTGGTATGTACGTTTAAGTCATGCAACTAAGAATGGGATAAATTAGTTGTGACTAATGGATTATCTTCTAACATGTGGAAATTATAGAATATTCCTCTTTGTCTTCAGTTATGTTTTGGAGTTTTGCTAATTCTGGTTTGTAAGGTAACATTTATGGAACTATTTTTATAGGAGAATGCTAGTTATTTTTTAGTAAAATGGCACATAGATTTTGTAGATGGCAGATACACTTTTTAAAATCAGCTTTGGGTATAACTAACATTCAGTAAAATACACCCACCTTAAATATATAGTTAGAGTTTTGACAAATGTATACACTTACATAACCATAACCATGATCAAGATGTAGAATGTTTCCATCATCATGAAAAATTCCTTTGGGCTTCTACAGTCTGTCCCCTTAATGTACTTTTTTTGAATTATTCATTATATACAGTTAGATTCAGTCTCTTTGGTATATAGTTCTAAATTTGGACAACTATACATAGGTAACAACCACCACAGTCAAGATAAAGATTCCTAAAAATTTCCTCATGTCCGTTTTATGGTCCACCCTCCTTTTTCCCATTCCTTATGTGTTTTCAAAATATATCTGATTCGTCTGAAAGTAATATACATGAATTACCTGTTTTCAAGAATCCCATTGTGTACCATTTTTATTTTGTTGATACTTAAGTTATAGTTGTTATTCTTCATTTTCTCTCATATTTATGCTTTGAGAACTCTGGTTGCACCCTTCATAGTCATTTTGTCCTCTGCTGATATTCTGACATACTTTTCTTAGTACTGTTCTGGAAATGCCCTTTGAGAACCTCCATCCTGTAGTTTTTTGTTTTGGTTTGGTTTAGGGTTTTGTTTTTTTTTTGTTTTTAGGATTTTATTTATTTGTCAGAGTGAGAGAGAGAGAGAAAGAGCACAAGCAGGGGAGAGTGGGAGAAGGAGAAGCACACTCTCGCTGAGCAGGGAGCCCGATCCAGGACTCAATCCTAGGACCCCTAGATCAAGACCTGAGCCGAAGGCAGTTGCTTAACCAACTGAGCCACCCAGGCGCCCCCACCCTGTAGATTTTTAGCATACAGTTTCATGGCTTACCTCAGTAAGAAGATAGAGACATTCTCACATCTTCTGTTGAAGGATCACTGTCCTCTTACTTCTCTAAGAAAGACGAATCCTGGGCAGAGTTATAAAGCTAACTTCTTTATAATATGTCCTTGTTTTCAGTCATTACTTGCTCCTTAAAACTCTCTGGCCTCAATGTCTTTTTATAACTCTTCGCCTCTGATTATAAGAATAACTAGAATGTCACCTTACTGCCTTTTACGCTAGTCCATTTTTTTGGTAAGGAATCAGTATTGCTTCCATTCCCCCAACATCTGTTCTGTCTGGCCCTCTATAATTTGGTGTCTATCACATGACAAAAACTGTGTTCTAGAAAGTTTTGAATGGCTTCTGATTAACTGATTGCTCTCTTTTGCAGTTTAAAGGTACTACAGAAACCTATGAATGTTTTTGTTTATTCTGTCTTAATAGTTTTTCTGTTGTTAGTTGATAACTTTCAAAAGGATCAGTATAATTTGTTTCCTTTTCTATTGCTTCTAAAAGTAAATGAGAATGACGTGTTGAAACAATAAATTACAAATCTATAGCAGATCTATAATTGTATATTTTACTCCTAATGGAAGAAGAAAGTGATGGTTCTGTTTGATTTGTTAGGAGATTGAATTTCCATAGCTTTAAAATATTCAGATACTTTTGCATGAACTCAGCTATCCTTATCAGAATTTTCTTTTCAGGGGTGGGAGGGGAAATGTGTCCATATTTTATAGGGAGAGTACTAAAGCACAGTAAATACTCTTGCACCTCATTTGGTAATCTGTTTTTTTCTGATGTACTCCTTTGGTGTTTTTGTGTGTTGTTTTATGTTGGGTTGTTTTGTTTTTATGTACATAGACAATGTGTAGAGTCATGGGCTTGCACAGTTAAGAATAAGAAAATCAAACATTATAAATTAGCTGAAGTAACTTTGATTTCAGTGTTACTTTTTTAAAGTTTAGGGCTATTTTTATTATAGAGCATTAAAGTGATAAACTTTTGGTTTGTTTTTTTAGCTTGTCAGCCCATCTGCAGCTTACATTTACTGGTTTCTTCCACAAAAATGGTATGTACTTAAAAGTAAATACATTGGCATTCTAACAATAAAACACGTTAGTGAATGTAAAAAAAGAAATTATTTTGTGTGTGTGTGTAAATTTATAAAATTATACTTAGTGGAAGAAAGGTTGATTCTGATAATTCCCTTTCTTTAGTTGACTTGTCCAGCGGTTTCAGTTACTGCTTTATGTGGTCAATGGTGGGATGTGGAAGATGTAACTTGTACCCATTTAAACTTTAAAAGTAAGAAGTTCTTAAATTTTGTGTGTATAGAAATGTTTTGGCAATTTGTTTAAAATCTGTATACCTGGACGAAGACTTGGATCTAGTAGGATTTTGATACAGTTAGTAGTCTGCATTTTAATAAAGCACCAAGATGATTCAGAAATAGGTTGCTTGAGGAACAGATTTTTAAAAACTGGCTTAAAAGCTTTGGTAGGGAAAAAAAAAAAAAAAAAAGCTTTGGTAGGTAGACCGTATATATAAAATCCTGTTCATAGCCTGGTTTCCTTATTGCTTCCTGCTAGCCATTTAAGTTTTAAGTAGATTTTGAAATTGTTAAAATTATTCAGTGTTGTGTGTAATCATTCTTAAAGGTAAACGTTTCTGTATGTGGCTTATATCTAAAATGAAATTCCAGTTCTTATCTCTAAAAAACCATACTTGTTAGGACACTAACTGTTGATATTAAAAAAAAAAAACTATATAACATTATCTTACTCAATTTAGAGCCATCATCTTCCTAGAGATTATAACTAGAAAATAATGGGAAAATCTTCAATTAAATTTCTTAAGTTTTACTATTTTTTATTTCCAATATTTTTTGGACTTTAAATTGTCTTAGAACCTGAACTAGGTGAAGAGTGCCCTGAGTAGAATCCTTTCTGTGTGAACGTTTTTAGTTGATGGTATTGCATTGTGTTTTTTTTTACATTAATAAAACAATAGAAACAACCACTGCTACCAAAGGGATATATCAATATTTTAGATATTTTACAAAGAAAAGTATATAGTCTTAAATGTACTTCATTAAAAGAGGTAAAAGCATGCTAGGTAAAGTTTCAGTTGGTTTCAAATTGAGTAAAATGCTGCTTGAGTTAATCCATCTTTATTGTGTAATGGAATGACATCTTTTTAAGAAACATGTCAAGATGATCATCTTTGGTATTGTTTAGTAAGAAACAAAGTTAAATAATAATATGGTTATATTAGAATAGTTTGATAACTGAGTCAGGTTTTTTATGTAAGTAGTTTGAAATCTGGTCATAGCTCTATTAACTACTGTAACTTTACTTCTGGCTTTGCCTTAGATCTGATCCATTTTTATATAGAAGTAAACTGCGTAGCATTTTTATGTTTTTTCCTTAATTACTTATAACCGTCTTATAGAGTCCTTATTTCTAATCATTCTTTATACTTGGTTTTCTGTTGTACTTTTAAAGTACATGGACTCTAATACTTTAAAGCTTATAGTTTGAATTTTATAGGTTTGTTAGCCCTTTGTTCCCAGGGACATACATAAAATATATATAAGTTATCCATAACTGAAATAGATGGTGGATATTAATGAATATTTACTAATTAATACTGTTACTTGATTAATATTTAAGTTTAATTAATTTTACTTGAATTAGCTTAAATTCATTGGATTAAACTTTTTTCCTGTCTACATGACAAAATACATAGAGTTCAGAATTGCTCAGAATCACTTGAAGTTTTTTTTTCTTGATGTTACTGAGGTAAATGAGAAAGTAAACTCTGTTGATACTTCTGTTTCCAGAAAATAATTTCCCATTATAACTTTGAAAATTAGTGGAAGTTGGGAAGAAGCAGCTATATTGCCTCTCTTGTCTAATCAAGGTATATTTGTAGTTTTTTTTTAAATAATATTTTTAAGAAATCAAGATAGAAAACCAACATCAAGATCCCTAAAATCTGATTATTTTTTCCTTTTGTTTTTAAATGAAGACTTTTGTTTAGCTATTACTACTTGAAACTGCTTAGAATGAATACACAAAGATATTAGGGTACTATTTTCATGGTGATTATGGTTTGGAGAGCATTTTTGTTACTGCATTTTAAACACTGAATTTTTTTTTTTCCGTATTAAAGTTTTTTTACTTTGAAAGTTTACAACTTTCAAAGAGACTGATTGAAATGTATCTTATGTACACACCCTACATAAGAATGTTTTTAAGTAGAAAAAAGCATTGTGCAAAATCTCAGAAGGAAAATTATTTTTATGTTTGTAGATTCATCTGTTGTCGTAGTTCTATATATTATTGAAACCTAGTAATGATTGATTAAATAGTTTAAACTATTAATGCCTCTGGGATTAAAGACAAGTAAGTTATAGAGAAGTATTCGAGAACCTTAATTTGCAAAAGCCTTTGTCAGTTAATTGATACAGAGAATATAAACGATTATTTAAAATTAAAATCCCTGAACTTTGTAAACCGAGAGAGATTCCCCTATGTAGTAAATAATATCCTAAATTTAGCTATCCTGCTCAGGCTTTAGAGAAGTTCTAGGGAAAAAGTAAAAAACTAGCTATCTTTCTTATGAAATGATAATATAATTGTTTATATAACTTTTACATATGAAATCCATTATTTTAATCCTTTGATCACAAGTCCTAGTCAAATCCAAGAACTTTTTGGTTTGCTATTGCTGTGCATTCAAAATAAAACATATGTAGTACTAACTAGTTCAATTTAAGTATATCTTTAAGTAATTTTTCTATTAATAGATTATGGGAGAAGGAAAAAAATTTTAAATGTTTGTGTGTGGTTGTCTCTTGAATATTTCATTTGTGTTTTCTGCCAAGAAGCTTTAACTGTATTTGTCAAAAATACTTTTGACTAGCAGTTTATTATATTCTCTTTTTATCATAAATGTTAAATCTTTATATCCATATAATCAGTAAATGTTTTAGCATTAATTAAAATAATTGAACATCTTATTTGAATCAAAAGAAAATCACAGTATTATATGAAGGTAATTATAGTTGTATTGTGAAAAGTTTGTTTAAATGACTTTATATATAAAGGGTTTTAAAGAGTTTGCTACAAATTCGAACTGATTTTGGGGCAAAAAATGAGTAAACTTCTGGGAAATCTTTATTATAGGAAGTCTTTTTGTCTGAAATTCCCAGACTTCTTAGGAAAATGAGTATGGTATTTATGTTTTTAAACAAAAACATTTTAAAGTATTGATTTTCTATTTAGATAAGCCATCACAAAACTCAGAAAATGAACAAAATTCTGTTACCTTGGAAGTCCTGCTTGTGAAAGTTTGCCACAAAAAAAGAAAGGTAACATATGACACAATATTGGTAGATTATGTGGAATAATTTTTTGAGTATGTTCATGCATATATATTGTGCTTTTAAACTTTGAAAGCTTTTCCTTTTTTTTTTTTAAGAGCGAGCATGTCGGGGTGGGGGTGGGAGGAGAGTCCCAAGCCGACTCTGTGATACAAGCACGGAGGGCAGAGCCCAAGGTGGGGCTCAATCCCACATCCCCGAGATCACAACCTGAATTGAAACCAAGAGTCGGATGCCCAACCGACTGTGCCACTGAGGTACCCCATACCTTGAAAGCTTTTAAAGATGTTGATGGCTGAATTAGAAAAATGATAACCTTTTTTGCCAACCTCCTAGATCTTAATGTTTTTTTCTGGGCAGCTGAGGTATCTGCATTAAACTTTCTGCTATAGGAGTTTGACAGTGAAGGGAGGAAGCTGTATTTTAGCATCTTAGGACATAAAATCAGATGCTTCCCTATCACTTTGATCTCTTAGCTTTTTAGCAGTTTGTACGAATTGAAATTTAAATAAGAGCTGTGAGAGTTTTTCCCAAAAGGATTACCTCTTGTAACACTACTCTCGAGCAAAGAAATTCTGTTGCCAGTGTTATTGGCCATTGATCTATTAATACATTGCCTCAAATTTCTATTTATAAGGTGAAATCATTCACCACAGAAACACGTTAGGATGGTTAAATTTTCTCAGCAACCAGTACTTTTAGTAGCCTCAAGATCTTGCGTATTTTAGGATTAGGAATGACCTGTATAGAGATTCCTGTTTTGACATTCTTCCAAAATCATAATAAGGTGACACAGGACTTGAGCACTACTAAAGCACTCATACGGAGTGGACTAAGGTGATTAGGAGACAACAGTTTAAGTATATATTCAAAACTTCAAAGTTAAGGAATACCATTCTCCCTCCCATGCAATCCCCATATGCATGATAAATAGTGATGTGAACATTCTTGAAGATGCAGGCAAAAAAATGTGAATACAATTGTAGTGTCCTTTTTGTGTTTCAAAAAATAATAGATGTAAACATTTGCTTAGAAGGATATACACAACCAACTGCTAATATTAGTCATCTCTGGAGTATAGGACCTGGAGGAGGTGGGGGAAACTTAAATATTTCTCATTTTATACTCTTGTAGAGTAGAATTTTTTGTTAGAATAAGAATGTATTTGGTTTTCAAAAAGAAGCTACTATCTTGTTATAAAGGTCTTTCATATCTTCCAATTTTTCAGCTATTTAAGCATAACTCCAGTTATATAATTTCTACAGAATATTATTCATAAGATGAACAATATTGCTCCTATTAAGCAACATTTAAATACATGGATTTAATACTTTGTAACATTGACAGTGGTGTTTTTATAATTCTTTTTTCATTTCTAATGGTCCTATCAATTATTTTGTTAAAATAGAAAATTTAAGGGAAAAGATTATTAATTTATATGAGCTTAACATTTTAAGCATTTTTTGAATTTCATATGTCTAATTTGAAACTATTTCAGATCACCATCAGCTAAATATTTTATATACTGTATCATTATTTTCATTTTATTGGAGAAATCCTCAGTTGTTAATATTTGGGATATAGCTGTTCCAAATTTTCTTTTTCCTTCATCACAATTTTCAGAAGTATGATTAGAATTTTAGCATGCCATTTGGTAATGATGTTTCCTATATCTGTGATTATAATTTTTATTTTAATTCTTGTAATAATTGCGTATGCATAAATAAGTATAATTTCATAATCTTTGCCTTTGCAGGATGTAAGTTGTCCAATAAGGCAAGTTCCTACAGGTAAAAAGCAGGTGCCTTTGAATCCTGATCTCAATCAAACAAAACCTGGAAATTTCCCGTCCCTTGCAGTTTCCAGTAATGAATTTGAACCTAGTAACAGCCATATGGTGAAGTCTTACTCATTGCTATTTAGAGTGACTCGTCCGGGAAGAAGAGAGTTTAATGGAATGATTAATGGAGAAACCAATGAAAATATTGGTAATTTTTATTTTAATAGTTTTATCTTAAACTTTGCTTTCCCAAGGAAGAAAATGGTGCAGAACTAGAAGTAAATTGCATGCATTCTAAAAGCGTGAAATGACCTTTATTTGCAGATATTTTACAGTCTGATGAGATAATTAATTTTACGGTAGATTACCCTGGATTTTTAAGTGGTTGGCTGTTGTGCTGTACTAGGTATTTAATCTGTAAAGTTCTCATTTTTACATGATGAAACATATTTCATGTAGTAAAAAAATATATAGTGAACACTGGATGGAGAAGACTGGTATTTCCCATTAGTCCCTCAGCAAACAAAACAATGAATTCATTCCTACCCCCCACACATGACATTTTATTGTGAAAAATTTCATATGTATATAACTGTCTAAAGAGTTTTATATAGTAAATATTTGTTTACCTACACTTATATTCTGTAATTAAGATTTTATTGTATTTGCTTATCACATATATCCCTCTGTCTTCCCAGCTGAATCTACTTTTGAGGTAATCATTCAACCAGCACATAAGTGCCCGGAATACAAAGATCATTAAAATATTCAGTCCTGTCCTCCAGAAGCTCTCAAAAGCTGACCTAGCTTGCAGAGATAGATATAAATAATTGTAGCAAAATCATGAGTGGGATAATAGAGGTATATGTGAAATTCAGTGAGAGGCACCTTTGGGGAAATAATCTTTGAGTCTTGAAGTAGCCTTTGAATTTGAAAAGTAACCATAAGTGAGGATTTTTTCTCCTTGCCTAGTAAGGACATACACATAAGGTAAAACATAAAATTGAAAAGTGTAAGTCTTAACATTATATCACACATTAATTGTAATTTGTACCTAATTTAGGATTAGGGACATATCATAAAAAAAACCTTTGTGTTTGAATATTTGACTCATAAGAAATGTTTGTGAAATTCAGATGTCAATGAAGAACTTCCAGCTAGAAGAAAACGAAATCGTGAAGATGGGGAAAAGACATTTGTTGCACAAATGACAGTATTTGATAAAAACAGGTAATGTTGATGGACACCTGAGGCTCCCATAATGTTCTAGAAATGTTTTTATTCTGAAGGATAATATAGTGGTGTTGTTTTCTTTGCCTTTGTTTCTCTTTATTCCTTTTTTTTAAGATTTTATTTTTTTATTTGACAAAGAGAGACACAGCAGGAGAGGGAACACAAGCAGGGGAAGTGGGAGAGGGAGAAGCAGGCTTCCCACTGAGCAGGGAGCCTGACACGGGGTTCAATCCCAGGACCCTGGGATCATGACCTGTGCCAAAGGCAGACGCTTAACGACTGAGCCACCTAGGTGCCTGTTTCTCTTCATACTTAAAAATGATAAAACAAGTTTGTAAATACTGAATTTTTCTCTTTGTCACATAGGAAGCAGTAAACATGGATGAGTTGCTATTTGAATGGCTCAGTTAAGATTATTAGACATGTCACTTCTGAGTGTCTGCTCTTTGTCAGACACTGTTTTAGGCAGTGAAAAGGCATCAAAATCCCTGCCTTCATGGGGCTTACCTTCTAGTGGAAGAAACACACCACCACCCAAAAATTATACCAACTCACTATTGGTGCGTGCTGTGAAGAAAAAGAATAAATGGTTGTTTTATAGAGAAAGGTAGGTCTAGGAGAAGGTAATATTTGAAAGAGACCTGAATGAAGTGGGCCCTGTGTAAATCTTGAGGTTATGTATTTACTTATAAAATTAAGGAAGAAATCTGTGTGTCATCATCGTATGGCTCTGTGCATTTGGCACAGGGTAGCAAAGAATACCTGAATTTGTCATCATCTCCAGTTTTTTTTCCACTGGAGAGTGAAGCATCTCAGTGCTAGTAAAAAAATATTTAGGAGGCAAAGGCAGCATTCTTTTTGACAGCATCAGAGAATGGAACCTGTAATGTGCTATGAGTTCTTGTTTCCAGCTGCTTGCTGGTAATTAACACAGTTCACTGTTAGGCATAGGGGAAAGTGGCAAGTAAAGCAATTAGTACATTCCTCCTACTCTTTAAAAAGTACTGAGTGTCGCCTGTTAGCCACCAAGTAAAGAAAGTTACAAGGCTTTTAATAGGAAAGCAAAGATGGCTAGGAATAATGCCATAAATGTTGGCTACTGTATTACTGTATTGTCTTAGAATAAATCACTTAATATTACTATTCAAATATATCACTTTATATTAAACCAAGATTGTGTCTTTTTAAAGTCAGAAATTTGTAGGTTAGAGATTTACATGGGAAATAATAGAAACATGTTTTAGGAAATTGTTATGTCTATGGGAGAAGCAACTAGGACGTGACACTGCGCTTCATTGGTGTTGGTCAGTGTTCTGTTTTAGGCAGCATTGGGATGGGTGTTGTGTCCTTTTTAAAAATTATTTCTGCCTTACACGTGTATTAAGCTATTCCTTGTACATATGAAATACTGCTTTCTATTTAATGAGTAAAGGTACCAAGTAGAAACCATGGGAGAATTTTCCCCCAATTATTTTGAAAATTTCTAAACCATAAAAAAGTCGAACAATATAGAAAAATCATTAATACCCACATACCCTCACCTAGAATTCATCAGTCACTCTTTAACATTTTATCACATTTGCTTTATTTGTGAGTGTGTATTTTATTCTTGTGCTTAACCATTTGAAAGTTGACACTACTTCATTCCTCACTCCTAAACATTTCAGTGTATGTATCTCCTAAAAACAAGGACAGTCCTTCATAACCACAATACACCTGTGATACTCAGTAACTTTAACATAATACAACAAATACTATCCCCAGTTGACCATAATAATGCTTCTTGTAGCTGTCCCACCCCTACCCCAAGGGTTGCAATCTGTGGGAAGTTGCCATATCTATTCATTCTTCTTCTGTTTGGGATAGTTCTCCAACCCTTTGTTTTTTCTCTTTTCTTTTTGCCTTTTGTGACACTTTTCATTGTTGTTAATTATAATTCGTATATTGCCCTTTTTTTACATTGAAGTATAGTTGACACATGATTGTCCTTTCAGGTGTACAACATAGTGTTTTCAACAATCCATACATTTTGCCATGCTGACCACAAGTGTAGTCACCATAGAAAGTTATTACAGTATTATTCATTGTGTTCCGTATGTCGTAGTTCTCATCTCTGTGACCTACTTATTTTATAACTGGAAATTTTCACTTCCTTAATCCCCTTCACCTATTTTGCTTATCCCCCACACTCCTCCCCTCTGGCAGTTGCTAGTTTATTTTCTGTATTTATGAGTCTGTCTTTCTCTTTTCGTTATTATTTGTGAAACTTTTTAATACAGACCTTTAGTTTTCCAAAATGTCTATCAGTTTATGATTAGATTCAGGTTAAACATTTTGGGAAGGATACACTGAATTGTGATGTATTCTCTGTGTACATCACAGATGCAGGTAAAATTAGGTTTGATCACTTGGTTAAGGTGGTGTTCACAGTATTTCACCATTGTAATGATATCTTTTCCCTTTAAATTAATTAATACGTCATCTCTGGTAATCTCACTTTCAACTGGGTAAATGTGCATTTTCTCCCCAACAACCTTCCACGCAATAGTGTAGCATCCATCAATGATTCTTGTTTGAAAAAATTTTCCTATGGCAGTTGCCAAAATGTTAAACATTCCATCATTTCTTCCATGTTTACAGGCATTTTTTCTATAAAATAGAACATTCCTCAACTCATTTTTTAATCGGTATTTTAATCGGTATTTCTTCTTAATCAAATAACAGATGCCATTTTTATTCATTCTGCTTTAATCTACTCATGTTGTTACTCATTTTAATGCTCAAGTTGTCCCAGACTTACTCTGGAGGAGCCCCTCTAAATAGGGTCCTATTTGGCTTTTTTACTTAACTTTTATTTATTGTTTGTTTTTCCTTATTTTCTGAATAGTAAGATACCCCAGGCTTACATTTTCCTTCTTCTACTTCTGCTCTGGAATTGGCCATTTCTTCAGAGTCTTGATTCCTTTTTTTTTTTTTTTTTTTTTTTTTTAAAGATTCTATTTATTTGAGAGAGAGCAAGCATGCATGAGTGGGAACGAGGCGGGGGTGTCAAGTAGGCTCTGCTCAGTGCAGAGCCAGACATGGGGTTGGGCTTGATCTCATGACCTGAGCTGAAACGAGGAATCAGATGCTTAAGCCAGAAGGGCCCCCCAACCTCCTATTCCCCCCTTTTTTTAAGTGGTGGGGGCCCAATAACATTAAGTAATCTCTACACCCAGCATGGGGCTTGAACTCAAAACCCCAGGATAAAGAGTTGCATGTTCTTCTGACTGAGCCAGTCAGACACTCCTAGTCTTGATTCCTTTTAATGGAGGAAAAGTATTTACAACCCAAGATCTCAGGAGTTAGATGTGTAAACAGTTCTTTTTATAGTCTCAGAGAAGTTAAAGTCTCCTTAAACAATGACTACAATTCAAAAGCCATATAGAAAAAGTATGAAACACAGAGCAAAATTAAAAACTTACTCTGAAAACAAAAGCTAAGTCAAAAATAAAATGACAAGGGAGAATTAATTTCAGCTCCTACTATAGATTGATGTCTCATTTCTTTAATATAATAAGATCATACTCATTAAGAAAAATACCACAGCCTAGTAGAAGAATGATTAAGAGATAAAATTAAAATGTTTACAAAAAAGGAAAATATATGTGGTTCTTAAACATTTAAAAGATAAGACATCTGAATGTAAAAGTACACTGAGATGTCATTTTTTCACTTACCAGTTTGGCAGAGATCAAAAAACTGATAAAGCACTGTTGGTGAGGCTGTGGGGAAAAAAGGGCCTCCTCATGCACTACAGGTAGGAGAGCAAACTGGATTGTAGCTATCAAATGCACAACTGCAAAACAGTATCATGCAGCCGTGTCAACGCATGAGGGAAGCTTCGTTTCAGTTGAGAGATACATGAGTGTATTATTACCTATAGAAGTACATAAGAATAGCTTTTTAAAATGTTAAGTTGAATAGCTTTACTGCTATACTGTTGAAGTAGAATAACTCAAGGCTCATAGTGTAAAGACAAAAATTCTTAAGCCTCAAAATCATTTGGTATTAAGGTCAGACTTAGACTACCCAGATTCAGTTGCTAGCTCTGGCTACTTCATCATCTTAAGGCGAGCTACTTAATCTCTCTGCCTCAGTTTCTTCTTCTGAAAAGTGGAATAATCTACTTCATAGAGTGGGAAGATTAAATGAAACATGCGAAGTCTTTCAAATAATGCCTGGCACATAGTAAGCACTCAATAAATGTTAGTTGTTACCACCTAACAGAACTACTCCAAGACTGATGAGGAGAAGCCAGATTCTTGTGACGTACAATTAATTATTGAGCATGGTTGAAGAATGATGTTTAGGTTGGTAGTGTTACCAGTGTTAAAAGGTATGAAAAAACGTAATGCAAACTGTATATAAACACACATATATGTACACATACATTAAAACTGTACTGTGAGTATGGGCATAATTCTTTGATTCAACTGGTATTTCTTTCATTTATTCATCCATGAAATGTTTATTGAGCACCTATATGTGCCAGGTGCCCCCAGGATCTTAGAGTTACCAGAGTCATAATCATCAAGTTTATTGGTCGTGAATGAAAGTCAAGAATTCTAGTTCAAATTTTTTCAATAGTCAGAAATGACAGAGGCATAATTCTTAGTGGTTACCTAAGGCAAGTATTATAACACTGTTGTTATCCCATTTCATTAAAGTATAAAGCCTACACTCGTGCTTTATACTTAATGTTTAAAATTTACCAAGTTTTGAGAATTTAGGCATATTATTATATATTAGTACATAATAAGTTATGTCTGAGTAGCTACAGTAATGAAGTAATTCTCTAGTAGTAATAATTACTAGTGCAAATCATTAAAATTGCTTTTGTCAGGAATGGAGAGTAGGTATATTTCAAAGTTTTGTTGGGTGTGTAAGCTAGTTTATAAATTTAATAAATGCTTTTTAGTGTAAATCTAAATATGTAGAATTTGTGTACTTACAATAATACACAGGTTACTTTAAAGTGTATGTGTTTGTCTAACAGGCGCTTACAGCTTTTAGATGGGGAATATGAAGTAGCCATGCAGGAAATGGAAGAATGTCCAATAAGCAAGAAAAGAGCAACATGGGAGACTATTCTTGATGGGAAGGTATGGACTGCTTAGAAGGCGGAGCACGTTATAGTCATGAACTCCCATTTTTGATTGATGTTTTCTTTCCCAGATGCAAATTCATGTTGGAAGTAAAGAGTCCTTTGATTTTATACTTTGAAAGATACAAATAAAGATTACCTAGTCAGAGTATTCAATGGAAGGCGCTGACCTTGGAGCCAGACTGCCAGGTTCAGATCTTCACTCCCGGGCTGTGTGGTATTCTGGCAGGTTATTTAAGCTTTTATGTCTCAGTTTTCTCATCTAGAAAACGAGGCATAGAATTGATGGATTAAATGAAATAACTATGCTTAGCACCATGCCTGGCATAAAATAAGTGCTCAATAAATGTTAACTACTATTGTACCCGAAACCAGTACTACACTATGTGTTAGCTAACTTAAAAACAACCACCACCACCACCACCACCACAAATTGTTGTAAATCCTGCTTATAGTAACAGCAGGCAACATAACGATGACCAATAATACATTTGTCAAGAAATCTGCAGAACCGAGATGAATCAAATTTAAAGTAACTTTTCTGAGACTTGAAAGAATAAATATATTTCTTGGGTAGGCAGACGCAGCAGAATAATGACGTCATTTATTTCCAGATATATTAGGTCAGTGTACTATCACAAGCAAAATCCCAGGATTTTTTTAGCCTTAAAATTAGTTTCAAAGGAATATTGTGGAAGTTTCCTAAAAACATTTACTTACCAGATAATAGAACATACTATTAAGGTAAAAACAAAACAAAAAAAACCAAAAAAAAAACAAAAAAACCACAAACCTTTAAATTGTATGGTACAGTAAACATAGATGAGTTGGATCACTGAAACATTGTGTTTTTTTTTTGTTTTTGTTTTTGTTTTTAAAGATTTTATTTATTTATTTGACAGAGAGAGAGAGATCACAAGTAGGCAGAGAGGCAGGCAGAGAGAGGAGGAAGCAGGCTTCCCTGCTGAGCAGAGAGCTCAATGTCGGGCTCGATCCCAGGACCCTGAGATCATGACCTGAGCCGAAGGCAGAGGCTTTAACCCACTGAGCCACCCAGGCGCCCCTGAAACATTGTTTTAAAATAGTTTCATGTGCTTTTGGACTTTAGTCTCTGATAAAATTGGTATTAGATCTGTGTAGGAGACCCCATTCATTGTGACAGAACTGTCACAATTACAGCCATCTGTAAATAAACTTAGACATCATAAACTGCAGAAGACTCATAAATGTAAAAATTAGTATTCTACAACTTGAAAAAATGTAGGTGAATATTAATATAATTTAATATGAAGAAAGCTCTTACAAGTATGTTGTGAAAGTTAGCATAAAATAATGAAAGTGAATCATTTCTCCACTATAAAAATCAAAAGTTAAAAACAAATGATAGGCCAAGGAAGAAGTAACATACAAAAAGCTATTATAAATCTGTAATTTTATAAATCAATAAGAAAAATAGGCAATCTAATTAGAAAAATGGTTATAGACAATCATGCAGTTCTTAAGGTGACAAGTATAGATGACTAGCTAGCAAGCTTTTAAAAAGATACTCAACCTTACTAGTATTCAAAGACATGTAAAAATCAGAGATACTACTTTACTAGTTTGACAAAAAGATTGACAGTTTCTAGTTGGAGATGTGAGGACACCTAATGCTTCAATGTGAGAATAACTGGGGACAGCCTTACTGGGGGGCAGACTGGCAACGTGGATGACATTTTAATTGTATTCATAGGTATTAGCAATTAAGCCCAGTTTCTCAATTTTTGTCACAAGGTTAGGAACTGGTTAACTGAAAAGATGTAACAGATCTTGTAAAAAATATTAAAGTAGTGAGAAATTGGAAATACCTTAAATATAAAAAGATTGTCTTTGACAAGATTTCCATGGTATTTAGTTTTTACTGAATATTGTATATATATTCCTATTTTTTCTAAAATTAATGGTTACTTCTAGGTGATGAAATTTTAAATTATTTCTTATGCTTATCTGTGGTGTTTGAATTTCATGCAGGTGTTCATTATGTTTTAAATTTCTTATTTAAAGTTTAAGTTTTTATTCACAAGAAAATACAGGAGTTGTTGGGTTTTCCCAAGAAATTGAAGCACTATGATATGGGCATCCCTTTAAAGTCAAAGCATCTAGATTCGGTTCTTTTTAAAACCTTTGTAGTATTCTTTTAAATAAATATTTCATAATTTACTAAACCAATGCAATTTTAATGGATAATTCAATTTTATTAACTTTTTTTTTTACCTTTTCACAAATGTGAATATACTAGTACATGTATCTTTATGCATTGCAAGTATTTTTATGAGATAAATACCTAGATATGGAGAGACTTACTTTTTCAAAACTGGTTTATAGAAGCACACTTTTATTTCATTGCTGTCCAGAATTACAGTTTTAAGATGATTATTTGTAATAAAGATTTAGGAGTTTAGGCTTGTATGGCAGTAAAATAAACAGGTTTCTTTCTTTCTTTCTTTCTTTTTTTTTTTTTTTTTTTAAGATTTTATTTGTTTATTTGAGAGAGAGCATGAGCAGAGGGGAGGGGCAAAGGGAGGAGACTCCCTGCTGAGTGGGGAGCCAGATGCAGGGCTTTATTCCAGGACCCTGGGATCATGACCTGAGCTGAAGGCGGACGCTTAACTGATTGAGCCACCCAGGGGCCCCAGTAAACAGCTTTCTGTGGAATATCATGAAAGCAGTCTTCCAGAAGATTATTTGGTCTTCTGTATATAAATTGAGAAGTAAAAATTAGAAGGAGGAGAGCAGCTAAGATACTGTAGTAATAAGGTAGTAAGGATCTATTCTTGATGATTACATAAGAGAAACAAAAGAAAAATAGGAGTCAAATGTAATTCTTAAGTTTTTAGGTTAGGGTCACTAGTAGAATGATAATGCTAGGAACAAAACTAATTATACCTGGGACGGAAAGAAAATAGATTCATGTCTAAACATATTTTTAGTTCAGTTCAGGGTGACATTGATGTCATCCAAGTGGCAATGTCCAGGAGGCAGTTGAGATACACAGTTTTGGAGCTCAAGTATAAAGAACGGAGAATCAATTTGTGATCATCAGTTTAATAAGTGTATCTTTAAGGATAGGTGAGAGGTTAGGGTAGATGGCTAAATGTTAGCTAGGAATTAAGGAGACCAGAAGAGTCATCTTATAAGTGATTAGAGGTTGAGGAGGAAAGCCAAAAGAGTTCAGAGTCCCAGAACCCAAAAGGAGAAACCAGGGCAGCTGGCATTGAAGCCAAAGAAGTCAGGGACAATTTCTAATTGCTGTAAGTGTTCAGTTTACAAAAAGAAAGTAGTTGGTCATCTGACAGGTTGCACACTGGCAGGCTTTGCTTACCAACAGTTTTGTTTTTAAAACCATTTTTCATTGATTACCAACATGTAAGAATAGGAAGATTTCCCATGAGGTCTTGGATTTCTGACTTCTTTTGAACAAATTTGAAAATCTGGCTGTCCTCGGGTTCGGTGTGCACGTGGCAGCAATTCATCCATTGCTGTTAAGTGGCTGCCTCTTTGGGCAGCCTGAGCTCTCAGGTACTTCAGTCTGTCCTGTGCCATCTGTGTGCTCTTTCTGCCTGGCCATCTCTGTAGGCATTTTAGGTTTTCAGATCCATGTTAATTTATCGTAATAGATACCAGGAGGGTTTTTTATTCCTATGATTTCTTTAAATTCATTATGTGGAACCTTCACTCTTTTCCTATGTTTTCTTTTTTAGAGGCTGCCTCCATTTGAAACATTTTCTCAGGGACCTACGTTGCAGTTCACTCTTCGTTGGACGGGAGAAACCAATGACAAATCTACAGCTCCTATCGCCAAGCCTCTTGCCACTAGGAATTCAGAGAGTCTTCATCAAGAAAACAAGCCTGGTTCAGTTAAACCTACTCAGACTATAGGTAAGAAAACACTGCTGTCAGAGTAGTGCTTTGCAGGGGCACCTGGCTGGCTCAGTTGGAAGAATATGCAAAACTCTCGATCTCGGGATTTTGAGTTTGAGCCTCACATTGGGTGTAGAGGTTACCAAAAGAAATAAATAAAATAATAATAATGTTTTGCAGAGTTAGGACTTGGGTTCAGGTTAATTTGTTTGCCGTTTGCTCTAATAATTATTCTTTGGGAAATATCAGCAGTTCTTTATGTTTTATGACAGGTGTGTCTGGGAATTTTTTTAAAAAAACTTTAAAAGCATGATGAAATATATAGTGTATATATAACATATATATATATATATATATACGTGTGTGTCTGTGTGTATGTATATATATGCACCATATGTTATATAACACCATCTTTAGATAGCTTCATGTCAATTTAGGACAAGTTTTTCCACCAAATAAATTTCTCTCAAGCTCATGAGAAAAACAGTTGGTTTTCATACCTTTTTAGATTTTGGAACTGCAGCTATATAAACGGTTTTGTAACTGAATGCTTTTTATAAATCATGTGAAGATTTGTATATGTTGTAGAACTGAATCAGTATTTCAGAATGTTTTTACAGTTTTAGGGCTGGAAGACGATCATCATAACTTGAATTTTACCAGGTTATATTTTGTAGGAAATTTTTAGAGGAAAAACACTTAGAAATGGAGTTAACTCTGCTGAGTTAAGGTTCAGGTGCATTGTAGTGTTTTGTCATTTTGTATCTGCCTGATAGGAACACTGCCCTCAATTAAGAGCATCTACATGTTTTTATTTAACTCTGTTTAAAGAAGACAGAAGGCTTAAGACAGCTGTCTTTGACATTGACCACTCATGTCCACTCATTGTGTGTCCGTTACCGGGAGAGTAAAAGGGATATAAGAAATGGCCTGTGTCAGGGCAAAGATTTCTCAAGTACATTGTGCTCTGGGCATGTCTTAAAATATTCTGTGGCCAGTCTTAATAAGTAAGTGTTTCAAAGAAACTGAGAAAAAGTTTTATACAGAATTGTACATATGAAATGGTTAGTTGTGTCAGAGAATATAAAAACATTTTATTTTTAAGTCTGTAAAGAAATATACCAAAATTATTAATGGCCGTTATCTTTTGGATTTGGGGTGATACTAATACAATCATTTTTAATTTAGTTTTTGTTAAACCAACACTAAGTGGATATCTGCTCACTGTTGTGCACTGAGAATACAAAGACCAATCAAAACCACCTCTGACCTCAGAGTGCTTAAACTATAGTGACTACATATAATTATTTGGAGTTTCTTTCTTTTTTATTTTTTTTAAGATTTTATTAATTTATTTGACAGAGAGAGATCACAAGTAGGCAGAGAGGCAGGCGGAGAGAGAGGAGGAAGCAGGCTCCCTGCCGAGCAGAGAGCCCGATGCGGGACTCAATCCCAGGACCTTGATTGAGATCGTGACCTGAGCCGAAGGCAGAGGCTTAACTCACAGAGCCACCCAGGCGCCCCTGGAGTTATTTTCATAACGGTTTAGAATATAAGAGGGTTTTTTGGTTTTGTTCTGTTTTTTGTTTTTTGGTTTTTATTTTAAGAGGCCGGTGGGGGGTGGTGCTTCTAAGAGAGAGAGATGGAGTTCTAAGGGAAAAAGTGGCTCCTGCCAATAACTTAAGGATGAGAACAAAAACTGGTTAAGTGGGGCACCTGGGTGGCTCAGTTGGTTAAGTGTCCGACTCTTGGTTTTGGCTCCAGTCATGATCTCAGGGTTGCGAGATCAAGCCCCACATAGGGCTCCACACTCACCGTGGAGTCTGCTTCAGATTCTTTCTCCCTCTCCCTCTGCCCCTCCTGCTTGTGTGTGCGTGTGCACTGTCTCTCTCTCTCAGATAAATCTTAAAAAAAAAAAAAAAAAATTTTTTTAAAATAGTGTTAAGTACCATAGGTAGAATTCTGTGAAAACTTTAATGTTTATAGTTTTACAAGATACATCATTTCACTTTTTATAGCATGTATTTGCATTAAATATGAAAGTGTATATTTTCAGCTGTTAAAGAATCATTGAATACAGACCTACAAACAAGAAAAGAAAAAGATACTTCAAGTGAAAACCGACAAAAATTAAGAATATTTTATCAGGTAAACATAGCTGTCCCTTTTTTAAGTAATCATGAGATGCCTTTGTTTTGCATGTTATATCTGAAACCTTTTGGCATATTTAAAAGCATGTCTCTAATTTGGTTTTCTTTTTAAATTGTTTTAACTATTTCTAAAGGTGATGTTGAAACAATATCTTGAGATGTTTAAGTTGGAGATTTGTTTTTTTGTTTTTTGTTATTTAAAGTTCCTTTATAACAACAATACAAGACAACAAACAGAAGCAAGAGATGATCTACATTGCCCGTGGTGTACTCTGAACTGCCGCAAACTTTATAGTTTACTCAAGCATCTGAAACTCTGCCACAGCAGATTTATCTTCAATTATGTTGTAAGTAACTTTTTTTGTTCTTTTCACCAGTAATATATAAGACCATCTGACTTTCAAAGACTGCACTTCTTGGGGTGGCTCAGGTGGTTAAGCATCTGCCTTTGGCTTAGGTTGTGATCCCAGGGTTCTCCCTGGGATCAAGCCATGTCAGGCTTCCTGCTTCTCCCTCAGGCCCCCCTCCCCCCACATTCTTTCTCTCAAGTCTCTCTCAAATAAAACCTTTTAAAAATAAAAATAGTAAATTGTGCTTCTACACAAAATGCCAAATCTTTGCATTTGGTAGATTGCTCTATGCATGAATTACAGTGATCAGCTTCATATATTTGCATAGTGCTCCTATATTGACTTATATAATCCTCACATTGGCTCTTTGAATTAAGTGGTGATTTCTTTATTCTTACTCAAACAAGAAATAATTTGTACAAAGTTACCAAGCCAGTAATTGTCACAAACAGGATTTTAACACAAATCTTCTTGGCTCCAGGTCTTCTGACTTCCCTTTCACCATTCTCATGTGTGGCTCATTTTAGTTTTCAAAACATTAAGAGCTACAGGTACTTTTTAATTAACGAAATGAGAGTGATAGATACTTAGGGTAGGGATAATTAATATTTCCTTATTCTCAGCATCTTGGCATTCGTGTTACAGTATCATCCGAAAGGTGCTAGGATAGATGTTTCTATCAACGAGTGTTATGATGGCTCCTATGCCGGAAATCCTCAGGATATTCATCGCCAACCTGGATTTGCTTTTAGTCGCAATGGACCAGTAAAGAGAACACCTATCACACATATTCTTGTGTGTAGGTAGGTAAAAACGTCGTACAACAAAACTTACTCTCTGACTTCTGCTGGTGATGGAGACAAAGGAGAGCCAGACAGGGCTGCTGTTTAGGGTGGGAACCATTATTTCAGATTACTGGCTAAGTGTCTGGGGTGGCATACTGTTTTATAACTCTCTCTAGCCCCTGTAGCGATTTTCTCACTTCCTCCTTAGAACTTTTTCCTGTGTCTTAAATGTCAATGTCACTCCTGCTACAGTGCTTAGAGGGATTAAAGAATTCTCCCAGTGGAAGTTACTGTGTGCATGCCTAGGAAGGAACCTGTACCAGAGGAATGTACTCTATTTGAGAGGTGTGAAATAGAATCCTATCCCTGTCACTTAGTGTTACATCAACATTTCTTTTCATCAGACCAAAACGAACAAAAGCAAGCATGTCTGAATTTCTTGAATCTGAAGACGGAGAAGTGGAACAGCAGCGAACGTATAGTAGTGGACACAATCGTCTCTATTTCCATAGTGATACTTGTTTACCTCTCCGTCCACAAGAAATGGAAGTAGATAGTGAAGATGAAAAAGATCCTGAATGGCTAAGAGAAAAAACCATTACAGTGAGTATTACTATTATCACCACTGACCATGATTTTAGAATCTTATAAGTAATTCATGTTTAAAAACTATTAGTTGTTTAATATGAATTAAACTCTTAACTTAGTGTGAAGGACTCCTTTCTAAATGAAGGAATTTAGGAATCCACAATTTTTGTAATTGTGTCATTTGAAGAGTTAGCAACTGAAGGACATACAGCTTTTCTTGTGATTTTGTATCGTGTTTTGGTTTTTTTGAAGTAGGTAACTTATTTATAACTTAGGGTTTCCCTTTTAAAATTACTACTTGAATAAAAGTTTTATTTAACAAATGTTGCCACTTTGCTGTATATATAAGATGATATTAGTTACAAAAATTGTTTTTGATAGTCTCATAATTTTTTTTAGAAATACCAATTTTGTTTTTTCTGTATTTAATAGGTATTTTTTCCTTCTTTTTCTTTTTTTCTTTTCTTTTTTTTAGCAAATTGAGGAATTTTCTGATGTTAATGAAGGAGAGAAAGAAGTGATGAAACTGTGGAATCTCCATGTCATGAAACATGGGTAGGGTATTTCTAAATTTAAATATTCCGTTTCCTTTATGTTCCTCTTGCTGCTTCCATTCTGTAAATCTATGTTTGAGACTTATTTAAAATTCCACTGGCTTGGCGCTGGGGTGGCTCAGTTGGTTATGCATCCACCTCTTGATTTCTGCTAAGGTCATCATCTCAAGGTCAGGCAGTCAGTCCTGTATTGGACTTTGCCCTCAGTGTGAAGCCTGCGTAAGAGTCTCCGTTTCCCCTCTCCTCACACAAAAAAATAGGAAGGAAATTCCATTAGCGTAGATACAGTGTGCCCGAAATCTTATCCTAATTCAAAGTATTATAACTGCAGAAAGAAAAATGGTTTTATTTTTAAGAAAGGTGTTAGCTCTAATGGCAGTTCTCATTTTTAACATGTCCCTTTTTTTTAATGACCCAATTTTCATTTATTTTATTGCCAAGGATTAAAAAAAATATTAGGTCCCTTGGTACATACCTGGAAATGCTGAAGATTGGTTATCACACTATTAGTACAGTTTTTTAAAATTGCTTAGTTCTGGAGAATAAAATATAAATAGCTTTTCTGATTTCTTACTACCATTGCATAGAGGTCAGGGTAGAACAGTACTTATTTCTTTTGCCATTGTGGCTAAAAGTATCTTCCAAAGTGTTATTTTTCCTGCAGATTTGCCTCCTTCCCAGTGTGTGAAATATTTGCCTTTCAGTACATTTATGTTTCTTCTGTACCTTCATTATTATTATTAGATCCTCATTTAAGGTTTTCTTCTATAGCATGAACAGCCAAAATGTTTTTATTTATAATGAAGTAAATGGTAAGGGGCACTTCTGTTTCTTTACTCTTAAGGAGTAAAGAGGAACTGGTGCATAAATTCCAGCCCAGATGTCTGGGGTGCATGGGCCCTAGCCTTTTTTTGTACACTGCCTTAAGCTAAGAATAGTCTTCGTATCTTTAGTGGGTTGGAGAAAAAAAAGAGGGAGACAACAGATTGCATATAGCTTGCAAAACCTAAAATGTTTACTTATCTAGCCTTTTAGAGAAAATGTTTGTCTGGTCCCTGGTGTAGTTATTAAAACTCAGTCATGAGTAATTTCTGCATTTTGAAACTTAGGTTAAGTCTGTTTTTTTCTTTTGTCCTGATAGGTCAGTTTCAAGATGGAATTTTAGTCCTACTATTACTTTATTGGGTTCCATTTTCATTTCTTGATCTAACTCTGGTAGCATAACAACTGTTGGGGTTCATGCTATACTAGCATTGTAAAGTGGCTAGTATAACTGGGTATTTTTACCTGTTTGGTAAACTTTGGATTTTAAAATATCTGCAGGCAGGCCTTACAGACTTTGTTAGACACTGAGTTTCAGTGGATAACTGAGCAGCCTTTCTCCTATTTGGTTTGATTTGATTTTTTTCAAATTTTATTCATTGTGGGTGCCCCTTCCTTGCTTTCTATCAACACAGCCACACTGTTAACCACATTCATTGTGACATCTTCAATTTTTTTTTAATGTGGCTATTTTTCTCGTTTTATTGAAAAATAATTGGCATACGTCACTGTAAGTTTAAGACATACTGTGTGATGGTTTTATATTTATTGTGAAGTGATTACAATAGATTGAGCTAACATCCCTCTTATATAGATACAATAAAAAGAAAAAAAGAAGGAAAAAATCATTTTCTCCTTTTGTTGAGAATTCTTAGTATTTACTCTTTTAACAACTTTCCTGTGTATTATACAACAGTGTTGTCATCATGTTGTACATTATATGCCTAGTACGTGAGCCTTTTAGTATTTGAACACCTCCCTTAATCTCTCCTCCTCCCACTTTCTGCCTCTGCTACCCACAAGTTTGATCTCTTTTTCTATGAGTTTTGTTACTGTTTTCAGATTTAATTAGTTTTTTTTAGTAATCTCTATACCCATCATGGGGCTCAAACTCATGACCCAGAGATCAAGAGTTGCACACTCTACCAACCGAACCGTCCAGGCACCTCTGTTTTTTTTAGATTCCACATATAAGTGAGATCATACAGTGTTTGTCCTTCTGTCTGGCTTAGCGTAATGCTTTCACAGTCCATCCATGTTGTTAAAAATGTGGCATCTTCGTTTCTTTAAAGGTTTTCCATGAAGTGAAAAATGTAGAGAAACACTGCTTCTGAAATAGGAAAGTATGTCAAGGTCAAGAGAGAAACTAAAGGGGATAGTTAGTGTGTATGTAGAGAGTTAAGGAAAGTGGTGGCAAGAGAAAAATGCTCTGTACTTTTAATACTGTTGTATGCTGTTTCATTAGGACAAACAGAAATGACATCTTTTGAATTTCTGGTTAAATTAAATCTCTTTAAATTTTTTAAAATGGTAAGTCCATTCAGGTCATTGAGTCTCAGATTCACTGTAGTTTTACTAATTGTTAAGTCATCACTTACTGGTCTATCAGTTACCATGTTGCATTTGGCCAAAATGCTTTATATCACTGTTGATGTTTGTGTTATTTTTATCGAATAGGTTTATTGCTGACAATCAAATGAATCATGCCTGTATGCTGTTTGTAGAAAACTATGGACAGAAAATAATTAAGAAGAATTTATGTCGAAACTTCATGCTTCATCTAGTCAGCATGCATGACTTTAATCTTATTAGCATAATGTCAATAGATAAAGCTGTTACCAAGCTCCGTGAAATGCAGCAAAAATTAGAAAAAGGAGAATCTGCTCCCCCTGCAAATGAAGAAATCACTGAAGAACAAAATGGGACAGCAAATGGATTTAGTGAAATTAACTCAAAAGAGAAAGCTTTGGAAGCAGATGGTGTCTCAGGGGTTTCAAAACAGAGCAAAAAACAAAAACTCTGAAAAGAAAAAACCTAACCCCGTGTTATGGACAAACACTGAAATTGCATTCTAGGGAATTCAGCCTCTAGGAAGAGTTTTGTTTTCGTTTGTAATCATAGGTTTCAAACAGGCACTGTTAGATGAAGTAAATGATTTCAACAAGGGTATTTGTGTCAGGGCTCGACTTCACTTTGTCATGCAGCATTACATGGATGTCCGTCTCATCGATGTCATTACCACACTCTAGTTTGAGCATGAAAAGCAATCGTTGAAAGAAAGTATTTTTAACTTCAGCAGTTGTCTTATGAAATACATTGAATTGATAATCTAGAAATTATTTCATATATTTAAATTATAATGGTTTTAGCATTTGTGACTGGCCATTTTTCTACTTCGTAATTGTGAAACCTTTTTTGGGGAGGGAAAATTGGAGTGTGATTCCTTTTTAGAAATTGAAGATTTTTGGAAATTATGTTGATTATTGCAATCAAACCTTGATCCTTGATTTTGAAATCATTTATCAATTTGGAATGAGAAATTACAACATAAGATCCTTCTTTATAGAAGTTATTTTACAATTTTAAAATAGCACTTCTTCATCTTATGCCTGTTTGAGAAAATGTCAATTTTTCACATTGTTGACCGTGAAATGTCATGTTGGCTTAAAAGGTTACTGACCATTTTGTTTTTATGTGGATACTTTTACTGCATTGCTCACCCAGTATGTTTTTTTAAACTTGAAGAAATATTGCTGTTTTGGGTTTGTTTTTTGTTTTGTTTTTACTTTTCGATATGGTAATCACATTGAAAAATTCAGCTGTCTACATCTTTTCATTATAAACCAAGGGAAGAATGAGTTTGGGATTTTTAAGATGCCACTTTCGAGGAAGGAAATGTTCTATAAAAATGAACCAGAAAATCTATAACTTGTTTTTTTCTTTGCAAGGGATGTCTTTGTAATGTATTCCATGACTAGAATATCCAATACAGACAAGCTGACTTGAATTGTTGTGAGCAGTTTTGCCCTGTGATATATGTGTTTTTATGCACATATTTGCAGTTGGATTTTCTCCAACAGAAAGTGGTTTCACTACTGGCACATTAACAAGCACCAATAGATTTTTATTCCAACTCCAAGCACTGTGGTTGAGTAACATCACCTCAATTTTTTATTATCCTTAAAGATAATTGCATTTTCATATTCTTTATTTATAAAGGATCAATGCTGCTGTAAATACAGGTATTTTTAATTTTTTAATTTCATTCCACCGCCATCAGATGCAATTCCCTATTTTGTTTAATGAAGGGATATATAAGCTTTCTAATGGTGTCTTCAGAAATTTATAAAATGTAAATACTGATTTGATTGGTCTTTTAAGATGTGTTTAACTGTGAGGCTATTTAACTAATAGTGTGGGTGTGATTTGTCATCCAGTATTAAGTTCTTAGTCATTGATTTTTGTGTTAAGAAAAATAGGAAAGAGGGAAACTGCAGCTTTCATTACAGACTCCTTGATTGGTAAGCTCTCTCAATGATGAGTTACGGTAAACTCTGATCATGCCTCTGGTTAGTGAATCTCGAGCATTTCTCTCGGGCTTTAATTTGCTAAAGCTGTGCACATATGTAAAAAAAAAAATAGATTATTTTAGGGGAGATGTAGGTGTAGAATTATTGCTTATGTCATTTCTTAAGCAGTTATGCTCTTAATGCTTAAAAGAAGGCTAGCATTGTTTGCACAAAAAGTTGGTGATTCCCTCCCCCAAATAGTAATGAAATTACTTCTGTTGAGTAAACTTTTTATGTCATCTTATAATAAAAGCTGAAAAAATCCCTTTGTTTCTATTTATAAAAAAAAAAAAATGCTTTTCTATATGTACCCTTGGTAAGAGATTTTGAAGAAATCATGTAAGATGATAAAGCATTTGAATGGTACAGTAGATGTAAAAAAAAATTCAGTTTAAAAGAACGTTTGTTTTTACATTAAATGTTTATTTGAAATCAAATGATTTTGTACATAAAGTTCAATAATATAAAAGCTGTATTCTGTTTTGGTTTTGGTTTTGATTATTATGCATTGTTAATGTGTGTACTAAAATTTTCATTTGGCTAGGATAGTAAGGATCCAGAAAAAGTACACCCAACAGTCAGAGTTAATAAGAAATTAAGGGGGAAAAAAACGAACCCGTGCAAAAATCCTACTTTCAGTTCTAGTAACATCTGTTGCAAATGGCATGTTATTTATCGAAAAACATTTTTATAAGTTCAGAGTAATGTCAGTGTTAGTTAACCTGATAGTTAACAGCTATCCATCTCTGGTTGTGAATTTTTTCTTTTTAATGAAAAATAATTTATCTTGGCCCTCAGAAAGCTCATAAACTGGGACACAAACGAGAATTATAAAGTAAAATGATACAAAGTTATCTACAACATTCAGTGAGGTTAGTAGTCATTGAAGTTAACTCTGGAAGAGTTAGGGGAAGCTGAAGTTAACTCTGGAAGAGTTAGGGGAAGCTTTACAGAGGAGCTGACAGTGAGTTCTTCTTGCTTTATTTACTAGTCACCTGTACACATGCTGCTGTGTTCTTGGAGCTGAGTGCCTCTCTGTGCTTCCAGTGCTCGTTCTAGAGGTTTCTTCTGAGCAGTTGCTTTCTCATTACATTGCAAGGTCCATCTCAATGACCTTTGTACTGTCAAATGGTTTTAGGTGCTCAGCTACTTGGTGACGTGAACAGAGGGTTTTACAAGCTGTGCTGAGTTTGGATTCCAGGCAATAGGAAGTATTTGGAGATTTACAGCACAGATAGGGCACAAACCAACCTGTGTTTTTCGTGAGCCATGGCTCTAAGAACTGGGGAGAGGAGAGGCTCTGCAGAGGAAGAATCCACCACTCGGCGGCTACTGTAGTAGTAGGCCAGGTGAACCCTCCGACTACTGGAACACTACCTGTCCTGAAGTAAATGCCTGAAGTCCTCGGTCAGTGCAATTGCAGGACAGAGGAGTGACAAAGCAGGAAGGTTTCAGAAAGGAAGCAGCAGTCCTCCTGCAGCACAGAAAATGAGTTACGACGGCAATTTCAGCGTAGTGATGGGATAAGGATACCGGTTTAAAGTATCTAATACATGGGAAATGAGGTGGAGAGGCTTCACGCAGGAAGAGTGTGTGAAAATGGGGTCATACCAAGACGGGCAAAGTTAAGAATTTGGGGGAGAGTGGTTGGGACTGTTCCATGTTTGCAGAATACAGAAACCAAAAAGTTACCAGAAAAGGGAATGAGCAAGAACACAGATGGATTCGACTTGCTGTCAATAGGAAGTGGTTTCACTACTGGCCTATTAACAAGCACTCAAGACCCTTCTGGTGGCAAAATGGTACAATGTGGAGAGAGCAATCTGGTAGTTTCTATTAAAATCACAATGTAGGACGCCTGGGTGGCTCAGTTAAGTGTCTGCCTTTGGCTCAGGTCTTGGGTCCTGGGACTGAGCCCCACATCAGGCTCCCTGCTCAACAGGGAGACTGCTCCTCGCTCTCCCTCTGTGATTTCTCTTGCTCTCACTCTCAAATAAAAATCTTGAAAAAAACACAAAAAAAACAGTGCCTTAAGCCTTTGCTCTAACAATTCCATCTTTAGGTAGTCCTACAAGTAAACTAGAACACATGTAAAATGATAAATTGTCACCACTGTTGAAAACAGACTAGACACAAGTTATCAGTAGGGGACTGGGTACGTCATATGATCCATGTAAATGGGATACTATGCAGCAATAAAAAAGGATAAAGAAGTATTTTGTTTGTGTGTGTGAACCAATGTGGAACAAATGCCAAGATAAAAGGTACAGAACAGTTCCTAGTGTGCTTCAAATTTTTAACTGAAAAATTAATATGTGCCCATATTTGCTTTGGTTATAGCATGTGTCTAAAGGATACATAGAAACACTGCTTTTAGGGAAGATAATCTGGAGAAAAGAACAGATGAGAGGCAGGCTTTTCATTGCCATTTTTGAGACATTGCAATTTACTACCTTTTTTTAAAATTTTATAGTTCTTAAATTTAAAAATTAAATCCAGAAAATTTTAGAAAAGGGAGTTCAAGAAAGATGATGTTCGTACTAGGAAAAAGGCAGAAGCGTAAGTGTCTAGCACAGAGCTTGGAACATGGTAAATTTCTAGTAAGTAAAACAGGAAGTTCATTGTGAATAAGTTCCTAAAAATTCAATTTGTATTTTGTTAAAGTAACATAAATAGTAGGTCACCCCTAGAAAAGTGGAAATATATGAGGTTCTGTTAATTATGCCAAGTACCATATTAAAGCAGAGATCTTAGCATTAACGGTTCCTGGGTTGTTGTAAGAATTTAAGTACATGCATGCGCTCTGGTGTTCTCAGTGTGTACTCTATGGGTTGAGCCTCTGCTTTTGGCTCGGGTCATGATCTCAGGGTCCTGGGATCGAGTCCTGCATCAGGCTCTCTGCTCCACAGGGAGCCTGCTTCCCCTCCCCCTGCCTGCCTCTCTGCCTACTTGTGATCTCTGTCAAATAAAATCTTAAAAAAAAATGTCACATGGGATCACTCTGTAAAGCTCGTTCTAGGGAGCAGGGTTGATACCTCCTAGACTAGTGTATTTTATCTATTTTCCCATTTTTGATTACCATCCTATCCACGTGGCAAAGCTTTGTTCAACCAAGGGCCACACACAGGTGCACCGTCACATTTGTGTCTAAGCTACTCTACTTTTTCAGCACCCAAAGAGCTTCTATCTGCCCTTCTAGCATGTGGCCACAAGCAGCCATTCTTTCACTCATCTATTAAATGCACGCCAACACTTGTCACCAGCACTGGAAATGACAGGTTGAAGAAGACTCAGAACCTGTTTTAAGAATTCTCCCAGGGTCTCATGGGTCAAAACCAGAGTCATTTATTTCTTCCTTCTGTCCCTGAATAAACATCTATTTCTTTAGTAGATTCATTGCTTATAAATGCAAAGAAAGGCTGAAGTTACAAAGGCATCAGAAGAAAAGTTCTTTATCTTCTAACTTAAACTATGAGTCACCGAGTAAACTATCCAACTATAGCAGGGATCCAATAAAGCTTAGCCCCTTTCTTCTTCACAATCCAACTAAGATTTTCTTTTGAGTGGACTCTGTCTGTAGTATCCCTATTTCGCTTATCTGGGGGGTTGGTTCTTCTGTGAGGCTTCGTAGTAGGACCAGGGTTACCATGTAATTAGGCTTATGGAGACTTATTTATTCATTATTACTTACTAAGCACTTACTATGGTCTTTGCCTCCGCTAGGCATGATTATACAAAGGTGAGTAAGACAGACATTGTTCCTGTCCTCGTGAATCTTAAGTTCCAGAGAGGGGCACATTCAACTATCTTTTGATAAACCACTTTCGAAAGTATCTAATATCAAAGCAGTGTCCTGGGGGATAAAGGCTAGTGTGGACACTACCCTCGGTGCGGGAGAGCTGAGAGTGGATAGGCTTGGATTTGAACACCAACTGTGCGGCTTTTGCAGCTTCAAAATGCAGAAGGTTACTTAAATGGAGTTGGTTTCCTCAACCGTCAAATGAGATAAAAACGCCTCCTTCAAAAAGATACCCGGCACAGTAACCTGCTCTTGATTAACACCATCATGCCCTCTCCTACAACCATATGGTTTTGCCAACTTCAATCCTCCGCTCTCACCTCCAAAGACAATCACACGCTCCGGTAAGTTTCTTCTTCCACAGCTATTTTCAGAAGACGCAAAGGTCAGCCGAGATTGCATGGACCTAGTCTAATTCTGTGTAATGTAATTAATGTAAGATTAGTAAGTAGAAGCTGCATAGAAAGGTCAATTTTGCCTTAATCAATATTAAATTTCATGGGATTAAAACCATTTATGAGAGATTAGTCTTATTTTACTCAATAGGGTTTTTCTCTTTTAAACAGAAAACGACTGCCTTCGTTTGAAAGTATTTACTGGGTGGCTCTGTCATTGGAGTGTCTGACTTGATTTGGCTCA